TATATTATTTTTACTCAAACATTCAAAACTATGTGGCTTTAGAATATTTAGAAAGTTCATTAATTTTACTATACCAAATTTATAATACGTATATTATATGCACTAACAATGACATATTTTTAAAAAAAAAATCTAAAAACAAAACATAATGTTATACGTATGTGTATTGTAATGTGCAAGTACTAATATACGCAACTCTTTAACTTTATTAAATAAGTATTTAACGGCGATGTTATTGGTTATAAACTATGGTTCATAAAAGAAAATTACGTATTGCGAATATAGTTTCTTAAAAAATTCAATTTTAAGAATACTTAATTTGCTATAATATTTTTTGTATTCGTTTTCTTTTTTCTTCTTAAAAACAAAAAAAATATCCATTATTTTTAGGATTTAATCAAGTCAGTAAAACCTAAAATACCTTTATAGGTATATAACTAAATTTCATAGTTATACAAATTTGTTTTTTTTTTTAGAAAAAAAATATATTTATAAATATACATAAAAAGTTGAAATAAAAATTTTATTATTAGAAATACTCATAAATGAAAAATTCATAAAAAAAAAAAAATTTTAAAATGTGCAGCAAGTAATTTATTAAAAGAAAGAGAACAAAATAAACATATAAAATACTTTGAATTAAAACTATGATTTATTAAAATAATGATTTATGAAAAAAAGAGAAAAGAAAAATTTTATTACTCGTATAAATATATGAAAAATATAATGTACTTATGTAAAAAATATTTTTTCTTTGAAAATTCAGTAATAATAATTATTGACACCAGACCATAATTTTCTATTTAATAATATTGCTTTTGTTGTAATATATATAAACATTAAATATTAATTTAAATACATATAATATATTATATACAATTTAATATATTCACTTTCATTTAAATAAAATTTAATGTTTTTAATTATTTACGTTTCGTTTATACAATATTTTAGACACAACTAACACAAATTTGAACAAAAGTAATATAATACACACATTTATTGTTATTGAACAATAAATTGGTTATCGGTCAATCATACATTTTAATAGGAAAAAAAAAGTAAATAAGTGTAAGTTCAAAACAATATTAGAACATAAATTTAGAATTGAATAAAAAAACAAAAGCAACAACAATTTTCGAACATTTATGTATTATTCTTATAGCAATTTCAATGACATTTATTAAAAATATGTTAAAATTTTAACTAATATAAATATTACGTTTTCAATCATTATTTAAAATTATTATTCAGTTTTCTCTTAGAAAATAAAATAATATAAAAATTAAAAGTATGGTATAGTTATTATTGTATTATTATATTTATATGAACAACGGATTTCTATATTTATTACGAAACATAAAACAAATATTTATTATCAGTATATCATATTTATTTTATATTTAAAATTGTTTATATTAAATTACATTTTTCAATTAATTTCAATTTTTTAAAGCTTTCCAATTTCATTATATTGACTTGAAAATTTTCAAAGAATTCTATTTCACAATTAGAAATAATTTAATTTAAATACACAAATACTGCAATTATATATTTAATATAACTACACGATACAACATAAATGATGTGAATGTTTTACACAAAATGCGAAATAAAATATAATATAATGTCATAATTTTATATTGCATTGTATTATACTATTTTTCAATTTTAGATGTGTAAAACTCCTGAAAAAACAACTCTGCTATATGAATGCTATATAAATATATGTATAATATAATATTTGTACATATGTATACTATATATTATATTATACAAGGCGGAATTATCATGTAGTTTTAATCTATGAGTAGTATTGTAAACACATATTTATGTTATACGTTTACTTATACGTATTAAATATTTTAATTAATATTATTTTAATTATATAATATTGATAATAACATAGAAATTAATAAAAAAATATTTTATTACACACTTTTTACTAGATACTAAGTTTCTATATATTTATACTCTATATAACAAATAAAGTACGAAAAAAATCAGATCGTAAATTTATAAATTTTATTATAAAATAATATATTAAACTTATATAATAATTATTATATTATGTCTATAAAAATACAAAAATATTTTAGAAACACAAAAATAAAAAAATACAAAAAAAATAACAACTATTAATGATTTTAGGAACACGAATAAAAACTAGTATAAAAATTTGAACTTAAAATAATATTATCTAAATACATAATTTATTTGCCGTAAATAAAGCTAATTAATTAATATTTATATAAAAATATATTATAAATAGAAAAGAAATAGTTTTAAGAAAATAATTTTAAAAATATTGAAAACAATTTACGCAATCTATATAAGCTCTTACAATTATAAAGATACACCTAATTACATAAAAAAAAAAAAAAATATATTGCAACATAATAAAAAAATATATATAAAAAAACACATAAAATTTACCAGCAAAATCTAATAAAAAATTGATTAATATTCATAAATTAAAACAAATATAAAAAATATTTATTATTAGCTATAAGATATAAACTCTATTTAACTAAGTATAAAAAGTTAATAAACAAAAAAAGTATAATTATAAATATATATATATATATATATACAAATATAAAAATTTATTATTTATTAATCTATAAGTAAAATTTAATAAAAACAATACCCACTTAATAATTATTTAAATAAAAGGTAAGATACAATTTATTTACTGAAAATATATTAGAAGAAAATTAAATTAAAAATTATAACATCAATACAAAAATTAAAAACAATACCCAAAACTGCAAAAAGAAACATCATCGAAACGAGAATAAAAAAAACTCACAAAAAAGAATAAATAATGATATACATTAAATTAAATGATATACAATCAATATTATTATACAATTTAATTCTTCAAGAAACAAAATAAATTAAGAACATCAACAAAAATACAAGAAAAAATAACAACATTTATTGTATTAGAACCAATAAAAAAAATATTATTTTAAAATTTAATTCAAATTTAAAATATAGATTTATATATGTAAAGTAAAACCTGTAATGCTATACTTAAATAATACTACATATATATATCGGATTATAATTATAAAAAGATTATGAAACATATACATATAAAATATATGATAATAAATATAAAAACTTAACATCTTAAAAACAGAAACAAAAAATGTATTGTGTCTTTAATTTAAATCGAAAAGACTCGAAGTAGTGAATCCTTTTTAAGTTTTCTGACTGCCCCTATGTTGCCTTTGTAAATGAAAATTGAGTTTTTGGATTAACTGACCAGCTCACAGAAGAAGAGGTAGATTTTTTTTGTAGATTTGTAGATTTGTATAACGGGGACAACAGTGCATCGCGCCAACGTATAAGGATCTATTGTGCGCCCCTATCCGAGTGCGGGGCATGCTCTACAACTCACGCTCGAGACCCACCCTCCTGATGAACTCAAGCAACTTGTGAGGACCAGAAGACCGTTAGAGTAGAGCCTCCCAGCACCCTCCCTCTCCTACGAGCAAGAGCATCACACTCCCCTAGGAGGTGCACCGAGGTCTCTCCATACTCCCCACAGAATCTGCAAGTGTGATCATTTTCCAGGCCCAGCCAACTGAGGTGTCCCCTAAGCCTGCAGTGACCCGTCAAAATGCCGTTGAGAACTCTCACCTGGTTCTTGCCCATCCATATAATTTTCTTAAATCGCTGCTGGTCATAATCTAGAAGAAGAGGTAAGTGCGCAAAATTATTTGTATTTATAAAAGGCTTATGCTTATTGTTTATAAGCGATGTGTTTAGTTAAAAACTTAGAAAAATGTATAAAATGAAATTTGTGTGGTTGATACAGAAGTTTTATCTTTATGGAAGTTGCGATGGGTCCGATCAATCTTTGAATTCTATGCAATCTTTGAAATATTTTGATATATGAATGTAAGTAATTTTAACAACCTAGTACATAGAATGTTTTTAAAAGCAGAAGTTTCACTTATTGAGGGGAAAAGTGCTACTTTATAGACCATTGCTATGATCAAAACGATGGAATCGTTAGTGTAAAACTACAAGACTGTTGTTTCAATACTTTCTACTATATTTTCTAATATAGGATCAAATTACTTTCGAAATTATGTAGCAGCTACCACAATGAGTTATGCAATTTTAGCAACTATATACGTAAGAGCTTTAATATACCGAAAATACTATATTTGTTTTAGCAAAATTTCGTGCTGTAGCCCTAATAGTATTTAAGATTTTATAGAACTTCAAAAGTTATTTGATCATATATCATGATCAAATATGTCAACTGCAATTTTAATGACTTTTATCAAACACATTAGCCCTAACAATATATTCGCTGGGGCAAAATTACAATGTTATATCTTCTAAATTTTTAAGACATGCTTTGTAATTTTAAAAGATGGATATCAGCTACCCAAAATAGTAACGCTTACATAATCATACTTGTGAAAATTTGGCGAGCTTAACTCAATTTCTTTTTCGTTACATTTGGGACGAATGAACTCTAAATCAACTTAGAGCTCAACACTGAACAAAAATTTATACATACGTTTATAGACAGGTTCTCGATTACAAATATATAAGGCTACATATAAGACTTCTCAAAATAATGAGTTTCTCTATTTAAGTTATGCGTAACAATAAATTATTAACAATACCTTTTTATTAGCGAAAGAATCAAATACATATATATTAATAATGCAGTGAAAACGTATCAACCTAGTTAAAATCGTTCAAAATTTACAAACAAGCAAAATGGCAGCTCTTTTTTAATTCATTAACTCAAATGTCAAAGAATTAAAAATGGTATAAGAAGAGTTAAAATAGCAAAACCAAAAATATAACTTTTTGAGTACATACACAATTACTTATAATTTGTATCTGCTTATTTGAACGGCTTAATACAAGTCGACTTTAATTATTAATGTTGAATCATACCGAGGAAAAAGTATCAAATACTTTTTTACCTGTATTCTGATATTATATATACAACTGATATAGAGTTTATGTTACTTAGTTGGTTAAAAACTCTTGTGGCTTTAATTGGTGAGTTAAATGCAGTTTCAAGTTGTGCAAAGAGATTAAAAAAAAGAAAGAAAATTGTTAAACCTGGTTTTGCTGGTTTGAATAAAGTGCGTATATTTTCCTACCTATTATATTATTTTTTCTATACAAAAACTTAATAAAACAATAAAAGCAACGGTAAAAAATTACATTTCTATGATTTCTTGTCGATAAACATAGATACAAACGGTTAAATTGGAAAGAAATAAAATCATTTTTTTGTGATTGGACTTGAAAAAAAAACTAAAAATTTTTTGTTTGTTTTATGAATGCTTATTGTGTATATTTATGTATGCATGTGTGTATGCCGAAGTAGCATGCACCTACGTTATATTGCCATTAGCGGAAAAAAATAAGAAATTCAAAAGCTTCAGTCACTAACTTTTCTAGGTAATGAATTAAGAAATGGATGACGTAATTATACTTGTTTCAAATGTATGTAGGTACATACATACATATATTTGAATTTTAATACAATTAAAACACAACTAAAGGCATTAATAATAGTATCGTGAATTGATTTTGACAAGGTGAGATCGTAAGATACAATATCACATTATAGGTATTTGTTTCTGAATTTGCTAAAATGAAATAACTGTCTTACTTACTTATTTATTTATTAATGGTTTGTCGTGATATTTTTCGTTTAATGATTCCTTTGGACTTAAAAAAATTTGAATATTTTTCGTATTATTAATATCGATTGGGTGTTGATCTTCTCTTGTAAAACATGTTAAATAAAATGAAAAAAAAAACATATATCTTATACTTACTAAAAGTGCCAATTAAATTACAATTTCACTTACATGCATATGTATGTATACATACACATATATATATATATATATTGTATGTATTATCATATAAATTATATGTATTTAAATAACTATATAATATTATGTAATTATGTAATAATTTTGTTTATTCTGAAGACATGACATTTATTTTGTGGTTTACATTTGCATTTACATGTAAGTATTATACAATATATTCCTACATTCTTATATGCATACATACCTGAACAAACATTTTTGCAATCCATACACATATGCATATGCATATATAAATGAAGTATGATCTATTGATTTACAATTCAAAACGGTAATCAATTTTATAAAAAACTTGGACTTTAAATTTAAAAAAGGGCAAAACATTTCCGTTTCCCAAATATTTTAATACTGATTTACAAGAATATATGTATATACTTAACATGTATTCAATGTAAAATGTCTTTGTTACAAACTTAATGTTCAAGCATAGCTACATGCATAATATAATACACATTACTTGCAATGTGCGTTAATACAAATGTACATAAATAACTGATCAAATATAAAAACAAGACGTATATAAGTACATTTGTATATAAAAAAATTTTTTAAGTTAATTCGTTCTTCGGTCAACAAAGAAAAGGGGTATTTTATTTACTTTTTAAAACTGATTGTCGTATACATCTGTAAGTATGATGTATGAAAAAAGATATATAGTTTTGTATTCTGGCCATCTTTTGTTATGCTTCATTTTATAACAAAACTTTCCGGTCCAAATCGTTGCAGCCCAGTTCTTCTCGCACCTCGCACGACGTAAATCAACATTTGCTTCGAACAAAAGTTGTAGGGTTGTCCGAGATATTTAAGCAGATAAATTCAATTTCGACAAAAAAAGTTTGGAAGATATAATAGGTACTCGAAAACTGTACTAAAATCAATTCAATCGGACGCCTTTTCGATTTAAAATTATTTGGACGTGATTGGATGAATAGAACAAACAATTAATGACGAAAGATTTCAACAAGACAAGCTGCTATTGCATTTAAATAAATGCATTAGTTTAGATTTACAATTTTTTTTCTTGAAGCCTCCATTTGTGTCACATCATGGTCTATTTAAATCGAAATCCATAATATAATAATGAAAATTATAATAAAATAAAAAAATTAATTTATGATATAACTATTAGCTTAACAAACTTATCTACATAATACTCGTATTGTTTACAAATTAATATAATAGTTGCTAATGCCACGTTTTATTTTCAGTAATAAATTTATGGAACATAGAAACATGACAATGAAACATTTTATATTTGCTGTTATATTAATATTATTAGCAGATTCAGTGAATTGCAAAGAAAAAGAACACAAAGAAGTAAAATATGGAGATAAAATTAATTTGAAAGAAAAAGACCTAATGAGAAAATCAATTGTTTTCGATAAGAAAACCCCAGATGTGTTTTATTGTCCAATGCAAAAACCTTCAAATATGAATAAATTAATAGTACGGTAAGTGAGTTCTATAAAACTTATATTCACTTGAAATAAATATTTACTACACTTCCTTGCGTGATAATTTATCACACCACGAAATGAAACTTTATAAAAAAAAAGTTTCCAGATTTACATTTGTAGATATTATACATTACATTTAGATTATTACTATTTTTATATTTTTGAAAATTAATTAAATAGGATTAAAAACATATCTTATTTACATTATTTATTTTCATTATTTTTTTCCTTTTAAAATTTTTCTACTCCAGAGTAGTTGAGAGTAGATGTACGTAATTAGTGCTTTTAATTAATCGTTTACATATGCTGGTGTAGTTATACCCCTACTGATATTACTATACCTTTAGGCGCGTTTTACAGCAAGCACAAAAATTCATATGAAATATGAGAGAATATTTAATAAACTTTGATTATTTGTCTCATTTATTTTAGATCCCGACCTTTGCACAAATTATGCGAGTATGAAGGGCAATCATTACCAACTGATTATAAATCTGATTGTTATAAGGACATTGATGAATCAGATTACGCATGCAAGGAAAAATATAGGATAATGGTAAAAAAAATAAAAAATTAAATTTTGAAAGATAAAAAGAAAATTTAAAATAGTAATTTCATTGGAAAGGTATAGTTTATATGGAAACACTAAATAAATTTTGCGCGCTTAAATTGGCCTAAAATGGTGTAATATTTTACAATTGAATATTTAGTTCATATAATACATACTATAATATTTATAAAATGATTTATTATATGAAATTAAAAAAAAATGAATTTTCTAAAAACAAAAAGTTAAAATTTTCGTTTACCATGGAAAAATTGGTTAACAACTTGATAGTTTTAAGTTGTCTAAAGTCATTTCGCTATACACAACTAATAAATTTATATGCTCAATGACCTGAAAACAATATTATGTATTTTATAATTTATATAACTAGGAGGAAACTCCATGTTCATCCATTAGTTCCAAAAAAATTATCAATTCTTAAGTAATTATTGCATTTGGTTCAATTTATTTATTTATTTACTTATTTATTAATTATGTCTAAAGAGAACAAAATTGCTCATGTTAAAATTTAATTTATTAAGTCTATTAGACTAGTAATCGATCAAAAATTACTAATTTCAACATTAAACCTGATTAAAGATGAAGGAGTTTTTATTTAGTGAAAATTTGTCGCCGTTCCTAATAATGAATCATTATTTGGTATCGCTTCTGTTTAAACTAAGAAAAATTTTTCTACATTAGCTTACAAAAAAAAAGTAATTTTCTAACTTTTTAAAGTCAACAAAGTTCGTCCACTTATTATATAAATGATTTAAAGATTGATTACTTCATTTTAGTGATTTTAAAATAGAATGAAAGATAACTAGTATTTACGATATGAATATAATTCAACAATTATTTAAATTTCTTCACATGTTTTTATTCACTTCTGTTAGATAGATCTCAAGATATTAAATAAATACGTACATATACGAGTAGGATATATGATAGGATATAAAATATATCCTATCATATATACATAATGAAAATATGAACTATAATGAAAACATAAAGACAATAAACTATAAATACATTTATGAAAATTATAATAATTATACATGGGTTTATACAAAAATATTATCAAATATTAAAATTATTTAGTATTATTAATTATGGAGTAATTAATTTTATATTCAAAAATTTCTTTCCATTACTTTATTGTTCGTCATCTTTGTTAATTTTCGTACGCATAATATGTTTTTTGTAAACTACTTTAATACAAAATTTATATTGGCGATTGGGTATAATATCTTGAAACTGATCTAACAAAAGTAAAATTAAAAAAAATTAAATTTTGTTCTAAACATCAGTGATTCGGTACATATAGCACAAATTTTTAGACGTATGATTTTATTATTTCTTAATTACATATATAAGTATACATTTTAATGCTAATACAGATTAAGGTAGAAATATGTAAAATTTATGAGAAAAAAAATATATTGTATTTTTTATTATTACAGAAACGCTTTGCTACTGAAGAAATCATCGCTAACAAAAAGAAATAATTTTGAACAAGCTAAATTAAAATTAGAGTTTAATACACACAGATACATTTATATAATCTACTCACAAATATGTACATACGTATGTATGAAGATGTATATGCTATAACAGAACAGAATTCATAGGGCTAAGATCACACAACAGACAAAATCTAATATTATGTTCAAATTTTAACTATACATAATTTGATGAATTTTTTTAAAATGTCAGAGATCAATGTTTAATGCTTTTGTTAAATATTTTCATATTATTTATGTATATCAAAATAAATCCAACAGACTGTAACTAAAATTTTGTGTTAGAATATAAATATAGAGTTACATATTTATATGATTATGTCTGATGTGTTAACAACACCTATTTAACTGAAATAGACACACTACTAACGTTAAAGTTTCCTTTTTCTTAGCCCTAAGTTTTATTTTACTATACTGGTGGTCTTATAAACTACATTACACCTAAAAAGCTTTTGAAAAATTCTTTGCTAATTAAAATTTTAATGCTTACTAATTAAAGTATGATAGAGAGAAATCCAACTAGGTACCCTCATTTCTATATCATTCTATTCAATTTCTAACACTAATAGGTACATAATGTAAACATATTTTATATTCAATTTAAAACTATGTTTGTTTTTTTTTTTTATTAGTATTTTAAAATGAATTTAAATTATTTCAAAAAAATTTGTAAATTTTCAAACGAACAATTGAAAATTAAGAATTGCAGGTTTATTTTTAGTATTTTTTTAAAAAAAAGGCTTTTATATGTTTATATAATTTATAATTATTTTATAATTTTAATTTTTAATTATTCTTAGATGTATGTATATACTTGCCCTAACATCATTTATTTGCTACTAGTTTTCATCTTTTTGAGTGAAACTTTGAAAAAATTAAGATTTGCTGATAGTTACTAAAAAAATCAGAAAAATTTTATCCTTTTTATCTATAATGAAAACCATATGAATTCATAAGAAATAAGGCTGTTCAAATAAACCTTATAAAGGTGTAAAAAAAAATTGTTTCTACCAACAAATTAAATGCATATCCAAATTTCCAATAAAATCATTACGATTAGTTTTTAAATATTGTAAAAATTTTATGTCAAAAATCTTTTTGGATTCTCGTCGTCGAAAATGACAGAAAAAAATGTGTTACACTGTTCTTAAAACTTTTAACTACATTCCTCTTTTTCCTTAATCTTTCTTATTTAACTCATTTCCTTAAGTAACAAAAATTTAGTCCTTTTAATATTTTTTCAACTTTTATAATTTTCTTTTATCTTTATTGCAATCTAGTTTTCTTTAAAAAAATGTATTTCAACCAACACTTTTTTTAATATTCTGATTAAAATTATGTAGAAATACTTTTAATAAAAACTCTTTAATGCGTAATTAACCTTCTTGCAAACTTAATAAATCTCATTTAAAGGGTATACTTGAAATGCAAATCTTTTTAACATATTTGTACAGATGTGTGCATTCTAATTGAAAAAAAAACATATCTACATACACCATGTTTCTCAATATCAATATTATCAAAAATTACTACTTATGCACTATATTAACTCATGCACTAAATCTTAATTATTTTACTTTCTTAAACTAAATTCTTAAAATTTAATTTTTTTTTAATTTATTTCACATTTGTATAAAAACCTTTTGATTACATCTACATATGTACATATTTTGACAAAATAATAATGACTTTAAGATATACATACTTACATATATTTTAAAATTTAAATTACAAAATTTTAATACAGCTTTAAATTATAATTGAATAAAAAAGAAATGAAAAAATTTCATATACATGTATTTAAAACAAAATCTGGCAGATATTCCACTTTGCATAGATAACTACTCTAACCAAAACAAAAATAAAACGATTAACTCCACTACTAAAAAATTTATGAGGTTGGCTAATTAAACTTATCAAAAAAGGTATAATGCACTTTATTCACAAATACGTACATATATTTTATACGATTATATGATAAAAGTGATATCACTTGTTAAAAATTAGACTAAGATGTTAAAAAACTCGAATAAAATACAAAATATAGAGATATTTTTTATAAAAAATTATTTCACTATCATAACTTAATTTGTTTCAACGTTTAGTTATTACTAAAATTTAATACTTTTTAACTTTTAAAATGCAAACTTAAGTTTGTATGCATCGGTTTCGAAAATTCAGTAATTCAAAAATTTAATTCATCTATAGATAAATCAGGGTAATAAATTAAACTTTCGGTTTAATATTTAAGGTAAATTAGATTTGGTTTAACTACCAAATTATCGCTACTTTATTTAAAGTAAGGGTTTTTTTGTACTGTAAGTGTTTACATAACAGGATAAATGTTTGTATATGTATATGTTAATTGATACTAGATGTTAAGTTTGACCTTTATTTTATCTAACTCTTTTAATAAGTAACTAAAGAGTAAAACGACGTAAATATAAACGTACAATATATAAGTTCGCATTTAAAATTATGCTATTACAAAATACATATATATGTGTCTACCTATCGGTACATATACATACATGTCTATATTTTGTATTTTGAGTATTTAGTTAAAAACAAAAATTAGATACTATTTTTTTTGGTAAAATGAAGTTTTCTAAACATACATATTTTAATAACATAGTTTTCTTACATTTTTATAGATGAGAAAGTATCCTCCTGGAAGTAATTCACCATTTAACGGAACACGTTTAAAAAGATTTATGAATCTAGATGCAGATATTCGTTTAAAAATGAGCAAAAATTATTAAGATTAAAATAATATAAACATTTGCTAAGTGAAACAAGATTTATCTATGTCAAAACATCAAAGATTTATATATAATGTATGAAATTTTGAGTTTATTAAAAACAATAAATGTATTGCAGAATCGTGAAACATAAAGTGCTACAATTAAAATGACTTATAACCTCTGCAAAACAAAATAGAACTAAATCATTTTGTGATTTTATTAAATAAATATTTTAATATTAACAACAAAAAAATGAATTTTATTAAATTATTATTACATAATCATACAGTTATACAAGTTTCGTGTAGGGACTTTAAAAATTAATTAATTTTAAATTCGAGAAATATTTTTTAAATCCTTTTATATCATGATGGTTGATGCAAATGAATTATCGATTGTTTAAAAATTTATGCAGTCTCGTCTATTAAGTTTTTGGATGTTTATTTTAATTTATGCAGTTAAACATATTGGTATTTAAAAGTCAACCGTGACTTCCGAAATTCATTAACACAGTGTTACTAAACAACTCAACCATTACAAATCAATTATAAGCTGAATTAATTATTAATACCGTGTTGCAGCGATTGTCAGAGCACATTTTGATAATTTTAGTTGCAATTCATGTACATCGGCAGTTCTATCATGAATTTAGTTCGTAGTTCCGAATTCATATTATCAATAACGAATTACTCAAACTCTGTTCAGAATATTCGAAAAAGAAAAATCATAAATTACGTTAAAATGACTCTCAAAAATCTACGAAAGAAATAATCACACGGCAAACAAGCAATTTAATCAACGTGGTTGTTTTAAATTTTCAAGTTTTAAATTTTTTTGTTTGAATTTGCGTTATTGCAACACAGCTGACACAGCATAAGAAAGAATGAATTTATATTTGCTAAAAAAAATGTTTTCCACTTTTCAAAATTTCCCAAAAATTGAAAAAAACTGCAAAACTCCGTTTTTAAAAAATATACTTTTTTATGAAAGTTGTGTACTCAAATGCCAACAAGAAACATAAATAAACATTTAACAGTTGAAATAAAATGCACTCCAAAAAATTGTGCTGCCGTGGCTGATTCAAAATCTCTACAAAAGAAATTTGTAATCATTTAAAAGTCTAGAATTCTACGAGGACAATTCATGATATGCTGATAAGTTATTAGGGTATTTCCAACACTACGTTAAAATTATATACATACATACATATATTAGAGAAGGGACTGTTCCATTCGAACGTGCAATAATTAAATATTTATTCCATTTTTAGCTAAAACAATAAATATTGCATTTATTCTAATTTTAAAATTATAGTAATTTAATATTTCGTGTTTTGATAGTACTTATATTTGTAGAATTCCTTGTACTTTAATTGCTCAAAAACGAGTCGACAAATTAACATGCAAAACAATTCGTATCGCCAGCCTCGAGGTCTTTTATAATTGCATATCTCCGTGTCTGTTCCTTTTCAAAAAGTTGAAAATTTTCCTTTTAAGACCAGGCTACTTAGAAGCGAGATTCAATACATTCGTTATATGCAATCAATACGGGTTAAGGTAAGGGAAATAAGCAGGAATTAATTAGGCTAAAGGGGCAGTTGACATTTCAATCGAGATGAATTTTTAATATGCACTGGATTCAATAGCCACATTATCAGTCCAAGATAATTTTTTTATGACTATACAAAATTTAGCAGAAATAAACTACTTTTGGCAGAACGGATTTTATGACCCTGATCGAGCAAAAACCTAAACTAAAATATAACATAAAACCAAAAACATCTGTGATGGTCGTGAAAAAATCTCAAAAAAAAAAACACCTGTGATGGCCGTGCTTACTATCTTGAAACAACATCATTGTATACAAGTGAAATGTTTATTAAATATTAAGCTCCCACAAAAAATTCAAATTCATTTTTTTTTCAAAATATTTTCTTTATTTTTTAAATTTATTTAGTTATTTTGAAATATTTTCTATTAAAATTTTTCGGATTATAGATACATGTTTCCATCATTTTTTTATTTTCTTTTAAAGATTTAATTTATTCTTGCATTAATAATTATAATAATAAAATAGTAATAATTTCAAAGTATATAATTTTTTTGTTAATTTTAAGAGCAGCAATATTATTCTTATATAATTTGTTTTTTTAATCTTTTCGTTTTCAACAGCAGTAATAAGTTTTCTCAAAGACATTTTTAAGCTTTTATACATTTAATATAATTTCTTAGTTGCTTAATCATAATTTGCAAATTTATTCATATTTTCTTTTACTTTTAAGGTGTTAAGATTATATATACATATATACATACTGATAGAAAAAATATCCAAACATATGCGTTTGAATTCACAAAACTATATACAGGGCTTTTCGGAAGAAATCTAGGTGGATCTTCGTTTTACATTTGACGCTAGTTACCCTGTGTACATATGCAGGATCTACACACTATGTATATGGTATATAAGTACATAAATATACATTATAAATTTATTTAATTATAATATATAACAATATATTGTTTAGCGTTTTATAAAACAATAGTTACTTTAAAAAAAACGTAAAATAAGAAATTTAATAATTTTTATTCAATTGAATTGATTTTATTGAATTTGTTATGAGTTCAAAATGTTGGCAACTTTTAGTTCCAATCCAATTATTGCAGTAATATTTTAAATGCATGTTTTTCACATGATATTTTAACTTAGTATAGAAAGGCAATCACAAATAAACTTTTCATGTGTTGAATCACAATTTTATTGGAAATAAATTTAATTTTATTAAGTGTATTATTTTACAAACCAATTCTTTTGTTTTTGAACAGATTTTTAGTTATACATTACCGTTTTATTCTTCATGGTAAAAAAATACAATCAAATTTATTTTAGAATCATTCCCCATTCTGAAAATTTGTTTGATTTACACATTTTCATCGAAAGTGATCGTCAGTTCAAACGCGTTAAATTATTTACAATAACAAATTAGAATTTAAACATTTAATTTGTAATTTTTTTTACTGTAATTCTTTCTGGTTAAATGTAGTTTGGACATTCAGTATCACTAATTTGAAAATCTTATTAAAATCAAAAATTTTATATAGTATATTAAATGTCTTATAGATAGGCATAGAGTATAAAAAAAGGGAATATTTTATTACCTATGAAAGTTTAAAATATTTAGAAAAATATCCATAAGATATAAATAATGAAAATATTAACAACAAAAACTTTTAGTACATAAATTCATTTTTTCTTTAACTTGTTGCATAAACTTAAATATACGTAAAAAAAACTTGAAGATATTAAAAATGGGGATTCTCTTTCTTAGGAGTAAAGAATGAATTTAAGCTTCGATATACACTTTGCATACCATAGGGGTTTAATATGTATTTATATGTATTCATGCTTAATTTCAGTGTTCAAAATACAAAAATATTTTCACAATCTGCACGAATAAGGAAAATATGCATATGTATTTTGGCGTAATTTCTAGTTTATTTTGAAATTGTCAAACAAAATTGGAAAAAAAATTTTTTAAACGATGATTGTGATTCTGTGATTCCAACCACACTATGTAATTAAGAATTATTATAATAAATCTTAAATTTTTTGTGCTATTCGTTTTTTGTAATCTGATAAACAAATTTTCGAACTTTTCATATTTATTTTTCATATTGATTTATTTTCGTACTGCAGCGCTAAGTTTTTTTTTAAATATCGCTTTTTTTTAATTTTTTAAAAAAGAACTAATTTTACACTACTTCTACATTTTTATTTTAAGAGTGTTGTTTACAAAATTGTAGATTGTTTTAAAAATCAAAAAAAAAAAAATCTGTGTTTAATATATAAAATGTTTTACTAGTCGCCAAAGTAGTAATAGTGTTAAAACATTTGTTATAAATATTTTTAATTTAAAGGAAAAAAAATTGAATATTGCGAAAAATTAAAAAGCAAAAATCGGCATATTGAAATATCTAGATTTTTGCTTATTTTCAGATATTACAACTTTATTTAATTAATGCATTCAGTTTTCTGCTGTTTATTTCCCGGCATACAACTCATGTTATTTGAATGAATACCTGGTGGCATTGGAATAGAATATTTATCATAATTATTTGTATTATTATAACCATTTGTTAAACTATTCATGAACAAACTTTGATCATTATTTAACCAATTTGAAGAATGCGATGGGAAACTCATCTGCAAGAAAAAAATAAAATTGAAAGAGTATATAGTGTATACATTAACTAAGAAACAATTGTGCTTACATTTAACAATAATTGTGGTTACATAACAAAAAAAAATATCGAAAACATCAAAAAATTCGTTTTATAAAGTTATTTTACATTTTATAAAGTGGTACATTTTTTGCATCTTTGATACTGAAATTTTATTCTGTACCAAGTTTTTTTTCGTTTTTATTTGTATTATACCTATACTCAACTTATAAAAGTTAGTAAATGGGTTATATAATATATTTGAGTAAAATTTAAAACAAAAATATCTTTAAATGTACATATGACATGCCTACAACATGAGTGTGAGTATAGATGTAATACTAACATCATAAATTAATCTAACATTCGTTCTATGGAAATTATTTTCCGAAAACACATTCAATTATTTTTAGATTTAAGACATATTAAACAATACCTGAGCTTGGGAGTTTTGTTGATTTAATAAATTATTAACTCCATGATGACCAAAACCTAGTTTGTATTATGTAGAAAAAATAATTAGTTTAAAAAAGACGATTAAAAGAAATGTAAAAAATAATAATCAGCATCAATATATGCGGTATTAAAAGTATATTATACAAAATATATAAATTCAATACAAGTACTCATAAAAATGTGTATAGCTACCTTGACCGGATTGTTGTAAATTCTGTTGATTCAAATGTGGCATAAAGATTTCGTTATGTTGCGGCTGTTGCTGCTGATGTGATGAAAAAGGAAATTGACGGAATGATAATATTGCTGGGTCCATAGCAGTCCAATCAGGAACGTTTCCATAACCTCAAATAAATTTAAAAGCAAGAGCGTAAAGCATATTAAACTTTTTTTTTCATGAAAATCTTTTCTCACCTGATTTATTTAAATTATTATTACCATTTTGTAAGTGTTGTTGCATTTGTTGATCATTTAACTGAGGACTTTGGCTAAATCCTAGGTGTTGTGGCCAATTATTTGGTTGTTGTTGCATATTTGATGTAATTCCATTACCATTATTAGGGCCTAAAGCGCTATTTCCACCATTACCCCCATTAGCACTCATGAATGGTAATATCTTACTACCTTGTGCCCTGGGCACGCCAAAACCAAAAGCATTCATGTGATTCATATGATTAAAACCTGGTGGAGGCATTCGTGTTCTTTGACAATTATCCAAGATGCTTTGTTGTTTACTGTTATGACCTGTACTATTAGTACTAAGAGCTGTTTGATTTTCATTTTCCATAAGTTCTGCTAAGGCTTTTTGTGTTTCAATAAATGGGTCAAAACCTTCAATTAAATTTTAAAAATTCATTTAAAGATAACACTTGTACTATCCAGCTTTACCTAAATCATCGTCAACACTTGAATTTTGATTATATTGATTTGGAATACGATTCTGTGATTGCTGCTGCGAATTACTATTTTGATTATTTAATAGTATTTGATGATTATGTCCGCTGATTGCCTCATATTTATTATTATTGTACCTTTGTTTTTGTAATTGTTGTCCAGTCAGACCTGTTTTATTTTTTTTTTTTGCTTAATGCATTCAATATTTATCATAAAGGGAATAAGGAAACATCTGTGATTTTACATTTTTACTTTTTCATGAAATTTTTTGCAAATATTTCCTTATAATTTCTCTTATTATTAATAACAGTATTATAAAATATATTAGGGTACTTTAAAGAATAAAAAATATTGTATCTGAACCTTTTACAAATTTATCGAAAACTTATTTTATAATAAACTAAGACTAAACTAATTGTTTCTAAAACCAAAATCACTGCTCAAAATTTCAAAAAGAGTAAAAATATATATGCAGCAAAGTGCAGTAGAATTTTATATCTTTCAAATATCAATGTGATACAAATCCGAATATTTCTCAACACAAGTTTCAAAACATATTATATAATAAAATATAAATATTATTCCAACTCCTAAAATGCTATTGAAGTTGTTTTTATATATTATGCTAGACAAATTCGAAGCGAATTACTTTGAATTGATAAAATTTGAAAAATCGGATTATGTATAAAGAATATGTATATTTTTCGAAATTTTTAAGTTAATATAGTTAGCACAATGTGCAATAATAATTCTAATAATTTGCAATGATAATTTTGTTTTTACTTGATATAACGTTTACATTAACAAAAATCAATTAAATGTTTTCACAAACAAGACTCAATTTTATACAAAAAAAAAAGTGGAGAATATTATGTTATTATGTTATGTTATACAATCACAGATGTGTACATATGTACGTATTTCTAATGAGTTTTTTTCTCTTTGGATACAATATTCAAATTTCGAATACTTACCATTCCCATGTTCTAGAAGTTGTGAACATCGGTTACTATCCAAAATACCAGTAATATTTAAATGTTCACGATGATCATTCATAAACCCATTAACCATTCCATTTATCATATACTACAAAGAGAAAATAAAAAAATATTCCAAGGTAAAATATGTTTTATAACTATTTTCTTGTTTTAAAGCAGAATCATTTAATGCACCTGATGTTGATGATGTTGTGGTTGTTGTTGTGGTTGTTGTTGATGTTGTTGTTGATGTTGTTGTTGATGTTGTTGTTGATGTTGTTGCTGCTGTTGTTGTTGTTGAGTTTTGTGAAAATCAAAAAATTTGGACATGTTAGTTGAGCCAAATAAACTGTTGTTTAAAATTTCATTATGTTGCAAGTTTGTTGTTTGCCTTTGCTGTTGCTGATGATGCTGCTGTTGATGGAATATTGCCTGTTGTGTTAGTCGATTTAAGTCAGAGCCTCCAAAATCTGTATTAGCAAAATCTGTGCATATAACAATATAAAAAGAAATAAAATATTAATTAAAAATGCGATATTAAAATTACTCTTTTTATTTACCATTAAAACCACTTATTTGATTCATACCAATACTGTTCAACAGATTGTTTCGTTTTTGCATTTCTTGAATTCTCATGAGCTCTTCTTGATGGTGTTGTTGGTGTTGATGTTGTTGGTGGTGATGCTGTTGTTGTTGTTGATCTTCTATTTGTTTATTATTACGCATTAGGACAAACTTGAAAGCTGCTTCCCAATCTTCTACAAGTTACAAAATCATTATTATAGTAGTTTAAATTAACGGAACAATTTTTACCTAATCCTCCCATATGCGCTCCATTGTTACTATTTAAAGAATTATTTGTATTATAGTTGTCGATACCACTCAATAAGTCAGGTAAATGGGATGAAATTGCACTATTCAAATGATTATTCATTAAAGTTCTACTCTCATTATCTAATTTTCCTTTAATTAGAGGTTGGAAAGATGATGATGAGAAAAAACTATTATTATCGTCGAATAAACTTAACCTAGATAGACAATCTGTAAAAATTCAGTTTATTTTAGTCAGTCAAAATTTTGAAAAATTTAAACAGTTTTATAGAGTAATTATAATACCTGAAGTATCAATAAGACTATTGGTATCATTTGTCTGTAATGGTTGTTTACTATTTTTTTCTGCTGCTATCCCCATTACATTTGGTTGATTAAGTATATTCTCCGGCACTTTTTGTGAACTATTATTTTCTAAATGTACATTGGAATCAGGAATTTGTTGTTGTTTATTCACTTGTTTAGACTGCTGTTTTAAATTCGTTGTTGAAACATGTTCCGAAAAATTTCCAGGGGAACTTTTACCGCTGGCAGTTTCGCTTAAAGACCCAACACTATCAGAATTACAAGAAGATGACAATGCAGAAGTTGTAAATACTGACGACGAAGCTGAAGATGTGGATGACGAAGAGCTTAAGGATCTACCACCACTGCTATTGCCATTTATTTCTTTTATATTATTATCATCACTATTAATGAAATCACCCTTTTCCAATTGATCAATGAAATTAATTTCATCGTCTAAACTATTTACACGGTTTTTGTGAGGCTCTTTAACTATTGTTTTATCCGTTTTGTGAAGATCTTGCCCATTATTCACTACCGGTTGTTGTTCAGAAACGATTTGTATGTTCGTCGCATTATTTTCTTTAAGTCCAACAGATTCTTTCAATTCTTTATTCTGATTATTATTACAACTATTATTGTTGTTATTACTATTAGATTTTTGATTTTTTTGTGACTTTTTCTCGCCTTTCGTTTTATCATGTTTTTTATTATTTTCCTTATTATTACCGCCACTTCCGCAATTTTTGCTGTTTTTAGTATTTAATTTTAGTTGCTCTTTTTCTTTTTCAATGTTGTTAACTGGCGAAACAGAAAGACTCGGCCATGCTTCTTTATTGTGAGCAGGACCGTTACTATTTCCATTTATATTACTATTGGAATTGTTAATATGGTTGTTATTAGTTATAACAACATTGGCTCCACCGCTATTTGGTATTGGCACTGTCGGTGATTGTGTAGAATTCGTACCTAGTACACTTGACGATGCTATGAGTGCATCATGTAATCTTTTCTCATATTCTTGATGTTTACCCTGATGCATTTCTTCTTTTGTAAAACTAGCTTCAGAATCCCCTAACTCATGAAGATACATGCAATCACTTTTCGGACATTGCTGATTCTTCATAAAATGGCTACAATATTTTGTAGTACCTAAACTTGTTTTTATTAGACGGCCATCTATCATAATATTATTAACAGATTGTATAGCACGTAAGGCATCATTATTATGAACATACGTTACATACGCTGACGCTGAGGGCCCCTTAAATATTTTACAACATTTGTAACTTTTCAAATATTCAGTGATAATAATTAGACATTTACCTGAACCCCTGCATATGTTGTACTAGGGTTTATCACAACTTTGTGTATTTTGCCGTATTTACCAAAATACTCATATTTTTTCAAAATCTGCAATTATTTTTAAATTTGAAATAAAAAAAAAATGTAATATGTGCAAACATACATCCGCATCTGCTAATCTTGGTGGTAAACCTACAACAAATACAAGATTTTTCTGAACAACTCTAACATTTGCTAGATGCTTCCGATTTTCAGTAATTTTTTGCTTCCGCTGTTGATCCCGCTGTCGTTTCTCCGCCTTTAAAGCTGCTATCTAAAAGAAATAAAAGAAAAACGTTTATTGAATATAAAATTGCGTTATTCAATATATATGAGTCAAATAAGCCGAATGTTTAAGTTAGGATAAATTTTATATCAGTTGTGTTAATATCACTAAAACGTGATTAAGAAAACCTTAAAACAAAAGGAACAACATAGTAAATAACTCATCATAAGCAAGTGGAACTTTTATTGTTATATTATATCAGTTAAACTTTTAGTTTTTGTTAAGACCACTCAAAAAAAGTTTTAAGAAAGTAAACTTGGACACAAAAATATTATTTGACATGAAGCAGTAAACCAGAATGCTTCTGAGGATTGAATGGGTATTTTGAATAAAAATATCTTAAACTTGGAATAATGTACTGTATTATACTTGCCCTAGATGAAAAAAGGATAAGTGAATGTAAAAAATATAGATTGTTGTAAAATATTTTTTAAGTAAGAATTGTTTTCGTTTTATATTAATATTTTTTTTCATTTTATATTTTATATTTTATTTTATTTATTTATGTTTAGCTCAAGTTATTTTACATAACTTAAAATTAAAGAATTCATATACAGATACATATTTTCTAGACAGAACAAATTTTTGACTTAAGTACATGAAACACTTAGTCACTTCATTTCGGAATGTAAAAAAGTTTAGTTAATATTTCACAATTTTTTAATGACACAATGAGTAAATATGATAAAAGATGTTATACTAACTTGCTCTTGGGATAAAGGAGTAAAATCCGCTGGATTTTCCGGATATGCTTTTCGACAAGCTGGACATAGTTCATTTTCGTCGGTGCGGATTCTGTGCCAGCAGAATCTACAAATCTTTAAAATATTAACGTGTAAATATCTTCATAAATAAGTTTGAAAGTTAGTTGAAATTTTAAAAATTTACCTGATAGCCACAAGTACATGGGAAAAAGTTTAAATCATCAACTTCCAGTGGTTCCATACAAAGTGGACACTCTACTACATCATCACTACTATTATTCAATACATTCATGTTGCCCTCGATAATTGAATTCAATGAAGTGCTTTGATATCGCTTTTTTTACTAGGAATTCGATCAAATTTTACTATTAAAAAAATACTGTGTCTAATAAATTCTTTTTTTTACAAAAAAATTTTTTTGTAAGACCAGCAATATTTTTTATTGATAGCTATATTTTAAAAATATGGTAATTGAAAAATGCGAAAAACTTTTGTGAAAAGCAATTCAATTAAAAATTTGTTAAAGCAAAGAAAATTCGCTTCACTGGAGCTAACTTTGTGCTATATATCACTCCTTGATCCTTTTTTCTTTCGTTTACTCTTGTTTTTCAAACCTTTTGTATAAAAACTTAATTTTATGTTTCTTCAACTTTACAATTAAATTTGTGGTTTTTGAGATGAATGCCACAATTTTGTGTGCACGAAATACAGGCAACGTAATAGAATTTTCAAAAATCACTGCTTACGAATTCTTGCAAATGCTGCTTTAAAAAAACGTTATCTAAAAAATTAAATAAAATATTTAGTTTAATAAAGAGTTAAATAAGTAACAAATTCATATGAAATATTTAAGATTTTTAGAGTTAATATTATTTTACACATAAATTGCACGTAGAATATAGTTATATCGTTATACACTTATATAAAAACATTACATCTATTGTGAACAGCAAAAGAGGCGTATAAAATGATTGCTAACATTTGCTCACTCTCCAGCTAGTGTTTGAATCATTGCGGTTTTTTTCGTTGTGATAAGTTTGCATTCAAAATATAATGTAAAAAACTTTGATGTCTATTGAGATGTTTGCTAATTACATATTAGAATACTATTTTTTCTTACCCTTACAAATATTAGAAAAAAAACTTATCCATTGGATAGAAAAAAATTTGTTTTCTTCAAAAGGAAATGAATTAAATTTTTAACTATAACAAACTGTAACATAAACACCTTAGATTTGAGATTTTTGATGCATTTTTAAAAGGTTTTTTTCGAATTTTAAATAAAGAAAGTTGCAATATGTTTTGGATCGTGCTGAATCAAATAACTGACTTCGCTAAGTTTAACATGTCGAATTTCTAGCGACAATGGGCCTCTTTATGGTTTAGGAACTCAAAAACATTATTTTTGACTATCAGTCTCAATTCCCAGTGAATCGATTTGCATGAAAGCTTATATTTTAATTTATGAACTGCTTAGTATTTAAATTAAAGATTTATTTTATTTAACAACATAACAGTACTTAAACTTAAGATCTATTTTATTTAGCAGTGACTCATTAAATTGTGCAGATGGATGAATTTTAAGTTAGAATAAAATAGAAAGATGAGATTAAATAATAACTTTTCCATTAATTTATTTTTCTGTAATGAAACAAAGTTTTCAAAAACGTCGCAAGCGCTATGAATTAAATATTAACACAACATGAAACCATATAACTGCCTAATTGAATATCGTGCAAGCAGTGACTAATTATAATAAGATTTAACATTTTACGGTGTACAAAAGCAAATCCAGTACGAATCGCAAACAACAAAAAAAAAACGGTTTGTTGATACGGTTAATTTTGCTAAACTCACAGAAAGCCCAAGAGAAGTATTTATTTTATAATAATAAAGATTGCAAAGTGCAAAATAATAGAGAAAATAAGATGAAGTTTATTTGTGATAAATCTCACCTTATTTTCTTAGCTTTTAAAATAATAAAATAACTACAGTTCTAAAATTTTTTCCGCATAATAAATAGTTTTGTTTAGTCATGGTCTCTGGCTATGCAATATTTTTTATAATTTATTTTCTGATTGTAGTGGTTAATAATTTTCGGATGATGATTGTATTGATTTTTTTTAAAGTCTCATTAGACAGTACTTCTTTTATTTACATAGACTTACGATACAAATCATACGTATATCGCTTATTTCATATCAGAATTCTTTTTTGAAGCATTTTACCATCAAATTATACAGTTTTTAATACATTTCATTTCTTAAAAACATAACATTAATGTTGTGATACAAATTAAAAGCTATATATAATTCTACTACTTATCGTTAGTTTTATATCAATTAATATCAGTTATTATGCACATATCGTGTTCGACCCGCTCCTTATCTTATCGAAAGATGTGCTCAAAACTATAACTGACTTTTATTGAAAGGTTTTTTGTGCAATTGATTTGATGAACTAACATTGAAGAGAATGTTATTTAAATCATTTAAAATATAATTTGTAATTATTTTTAATTCTATTAGCTATACGTGATTCGTTGTATTAAAAACTATTTAATTTTTGTTAAATTTTTTAGGCGGTTTCAAATATGTACACTATCTAGATTCTGGACAAACACCTTTTGGTGCGAACGAACTTTACCAAAGAAGTAAAGTACAATAAGGTTCGCAACTGGTGTTAAATCTCCCCGAGAGTTATTTCTTGGAGTTTTAAAAACAGGTAAGCGAGTTTTCTTTTAAACATCAATGAAAGGATATTAAAATAAATAATTTTTGAATTTAAAAAAACATTTTGAATTTAAAAAAAAATCCAACGTATACTAATTCCTATTTTGCCCATCGCCCTACATATATGAAAAATGAAATACATATCTACATACATATATACATAATTAATTATCCCATAGGCCTTAGTTCACCTACAAGAAAAAAGATAAAAATCAAATATGTACGCAAATAACATATTACATTTTTTACTAAAAATTTTGCGAAAACAAAACCTATATGAAATATTTAAGATTTTGATTCTGTTGTGTATGCACTGATATACATATTACGTACTTATAAACATAAATTTACTCCGAGCCCTAATATTCGCTAAAAAAAAATTTTACAAATTCGACAAGCACTGCATATTTGTGAACCCGCATGAAGTATGCGATTGATGAAGGTAGTTTTTGATATATATTCCGATTTCGGAAGGTGATTATTTCTGAAGGTAGTCGTTGAGATTATTTGAACGTATTAATTACTATGTTCCTATTTCATATGCGTTTTTGATATTTACAAAAAAGTTTACCTTAATACTAAATAAATATAACAACTTTTATGGATACGCACATTTCAGTAATCTTATTTCATATCGATAGTTCATATATCAATGTAATATGAATATAGGCATATAATTACATTTGCAGGATAAAAAAACACTTGCAATAAAAAACAAATTTATAAAAAATAACCTTGATCTTCATTTTGATATATTTAATTTTTAGAATAAAAATTTGCAGAATTTTTTCTTTAAGGATGAATTACCTTAAATCTAAGTCATCAGTTAGATAAATTAGATAATTAAATTTTAATAACTAATAAATGGTAGAAAATTATATAGATAGGCAACTTCTTTCTTGCTTTAATCATAATCTATTAAAATAATTTAGTAAAAACATTCATATATTATAAATATTAAAATTTTTTGAATTTCGTACTTTTGTTTTAGATATGTATGGTTTATTTTCTAAGAAAAACAGGTATGAATATAAAAAGCTTTAAAAATTTGCAAGTTTTGGAGATTAAAAAAAGAAACAAAACTAAATATAATATTTACATTCCTACGTTTATTAAATTTTTATATCAAGAGCAGATAGGTACCTATCATTTCGAATCATTTATGTGAATCGAATTTGTATTTGTTGGCTTTCTTTTTAATTTTTATATATTTGTGTGTACATATATATATATATATATATATATATCTTTTTGTTTTATTAAAAATAAGACATTTAAACATATAAAAATCTGTGTTAAAAATAAAATATAACTTAGAGAAAGAAAAAATTTAAAAATAGCTATAACTTATAAATAGAGAAGTGAAATACGGATGACAATGACGACGGACAAAATATTTAAAAGAATAGAAATAAATAGGTAGGTATGTATTCTTTTTATAATTCGTAATTTTGCTAATGAATATTATATTTTTATATAACTATCTAAGTAGGTATGTAGCTAGGTATATTGTATCTTGTGTTTTTTCATTAAATCGAAAAGGAGATTTTAGTGATAAAATCAAAATTAGGAAGAGGACTTTCATAAAATTTCAAATGCGAATCATCAAAGAAGTATTAATTCTCTTAAAATATATAACGCAACGATCAAAGTTAGTTAATCTTATTCTCAAAGTTAGTTAATTTTATTCTCAAAGTTAGTTAATCTTATTCTCAAAGTAAGTTAATCTAATTCTAATAGTAAGTAACCGTTTCTTTAATTTTTGTTTATAAAAAATAGAATTTTAAAATTTTTATTATTTTAATATTGGGAAAAATTCGAACATTTTTCCAGTTCAACTTAGCAATTTCATATTTATATACATGTACATAAGTACCTACTCACCTAATAATTTAGATAGATCTTACTTGGTACAATAAATGAAAATTTTATATTATATGAACATGAACATTTGTATATACATTACTAAAGCACTACCAGTAAATCAAATTATTGGTAGTATTTAAAGAAAAACGTATTGAACATAATTTCTAATTAAGTTTTAAATAATTTTCTGCAAAATGTTTTCTTAACACTTTAATGATGTTTTGCATCGCTTTCCAACAACGTTTATCATTTGTTGTAAATATGTGGTCTCCAAAGATTTGAATATAAAATGTGAATATTTGAAAATAGTTATAAAAAACTATAAATTTTTATTCCACGGATTACCTACCTATGCCTACCGTAGTAATAAAAAAAAGGTTTCTATATATTCAACTATAAAAAAAAGGTTTCTATGTATTCAAAAAAAAGTCCAACTAAAACTTGAAAAAAGAAATATGTAGGAAAACTGCCTACAATTATTTAATAATTGCATTTTCCATATTCGAATTAAAAATTGCACCGAAGGCACACATACAAAAATATTGAACAATTTGTGACTTTTTGCAGGAGAAATTTTTTCTAAATTGAAAATTTTTTAAAATGCTTTGAAAATTTGCTGGGTAAGTATTTACTGAAATAGATTTTAAAAAGCTTTAAAATTTCAATGTTACTTTCAAAAATTTAACTAACAATAACCCTTATAAAGCAAGAGTACAATTTAATATATTAGCAATAATTATAAGCCATACATACAAACATATATATAAGTAACTAAGCACACTAAAATTTTCATATTTAAATCAATACATTTTTTTTATGTCACCATATTTCTTTGGTCATTCATTTTCTAATTTATTTAAGTATACTTACATATCTCTAATATAAATTAATTTTATTGTATGATTAAAAATGATTTTTTCGATATAAAATTATTTGAGTTAAAATACAAAATATTTTTTTAATTTTCCTCCCGTAATAAGACTTTGTCGAAAAAAATTTGACTTTGCTGGCTTCCAACACAATCTCATAATAGAAAAAAAAAACCAACACATAAAGACTTTTTTTAACACTTAATCAATGCACACCATGAAACATTTTAGAAATTTTGTTATGTCAAAATTTATAAGACATTAGGTGTCAATTTGTCATTTTTATTTTTACGTACACATGTATACGCTCCACTACCACACACCTCATTAAAAAGCTGAAATGAATCACAGGAAAAAAATTTCCAAGATTTCTTCATATGTATGAACATATCAACATGACCATTAATAATAAACGTCAAAATAAGTTTTTCTTTCGTGATACTACCATTAAATTATTTTTGCAGTAGATTCTATACAAAAAAACAGGTCAAAAATATTTTGTAAGGTGTTTTTAAGTGCCCAAATTTATGTCAAACGGTTGTAAATTAATTATTAGCACAATTTAATTATGTAAAACTTTTTTAAAAGCAAATTTCTTGGCATTTTTAATTTTTTTTATGTTTTAGTATTTTGCTTGTAAGACTACGATTATTTTGAGTTTTCTCTCATGCTCCATATAAATGTGTAACGCATAACTTTCGCAAGATAAATTTCCTTACGAATATTTCGCTTAAGTTTGCACATTTTTGGTAAATAAAATTAAAAATTTTATAGCTCACATATAACTGGTCCTGATTATACTAGTTATACATGCGATTCAACGCGTCATAAAGGGACACGTGAGTTGTTTGTCACAGGGTTCTTCTTCGCTGTTTTCTTCAATGTAAAAGGAGAAATGTTCGTGCAATTTTATTCATGAGACTTAAATATCAGTCTCAAATAAAAAAATAAATTCTTGAAAAGTAAATTATAAGTTCTGAAATGCCAGAATGGAATCTTCAAAAATTTGTTCTGAAAATCAAAAATTTTGTAATCCAATGTTTGAACTTTATTCTCGCTTTTAACAGAAGTTGTTATATTGAAAAGCCGTTATTTAAACGTAAAAAATGATTTGTGATAATTAAAGATTCTTGTTTAAAAGTATAAATGGCAAATGGATAACTATGAAATTTATGCTGAAAGCTTTGAAATTTGTACCAAATAAAATTTCAAGAAAGCAAACATAATTTTTTTATAATCATAATCAAAACTTTATCAAATTATACTCAAAAATCGATTTTTTAATTTTACATTAAAACATTAAGAGAGTGCAAAATTAAATTAGCACTTGAAAATATTCAGATAACTTTTTAGAAGTTCAAATAAAAAATAAAGTCATTTTCTTAATCACAATTTTTCATTTTTTATGTGAAAGAATAAAACAATATAAAATAATATATAAAAATATTAAAATAATATTTTTATAAGTTTTAAATATCACACATACCGTGACTTCAATAATGCTTTGAAAAAGATTTAAGTACGGTATTAATATGGTTGTAGTACCGTCTTAGAGCTTTCAATACCTTTACATTGTAAAAAAAACTACTAAAGCTTTTCGAACATTTTGAAATGCAATTTTTACAATATTATTACATACTTTGTCGTTTGTTTGAAAAGTTCAATTTAAAGTTCTGTGCAAATGTTAATTTTTAACAAACATTACCAAGTCATTAAAAACATTGCATTTTTATGCTGCATTTTAAGAAAAAAACTTAATAGCTGGCACTTTATTGCTGAAAATAAATGCTAATTTAAATTTGTTATTTATGGCAACATTTATATGACAAGTTATAAGAGAAACGTGCTCGATTTTTTCGATACCCGATTTGCTTTAATTTTACGTCTCCACTACGTATAAAACCCATTTAGGAAAAGTGTACAATGTCAAGAGCTTTTACTAAACTTTTTGGAATTTGACACTTTGTAAAATTTACGTCGTGAGCCCATTATTTAATACTACATACTATTAAATACATATTTAATGATGTAACGTTTGTTGAAAAATAACATTTGCACAGACCTGAAATTTTCAAACAAACTTCAAAATATGTATTAATATTGTAAAAATTGTATTCCAATATGTACGAAAACCTTTAGTAGTTCTTTCTACAATGTAAAGGTATTGAAAGCTCTGAGACGGTACTACAACCGTATTAATACCGTACTTAAATCTTTTTTAAAGCATTATTGAAGTCACGGTGTGTTCTACACGTAGTGGATACGTAACATAAAAGTAAATCGGATATTGAAAAAATCGAGCACGCTTTTCTTTTACATGTTGCAGAAATAACCAATTAAATAAACTAGCATATATTTTCAGCAAGTCAAAGTATGTAATAATATTGTAAAAATTGTATTGCAAAGCGTGTCAAAAACTTTAGCAGTTTTATTTACAATGTGGAGGTATTGAAAGTTCTGGGACGGTACTACAATCGTATTAATACCGTACTTAAACCTTTTATAAAACTTTTTTGAAATCGCGGTATTTTAATACTTTTATAGTTATCACTAAAATTTCAATTTACAAGTGAGGGAATTTTTATTAAAAAAAGGAATAGGAAATAACGCTAAAAAAAATACTAGTGGGACATGTGCAACTATGATGTAACATGAAAACTTTTAATTAATTTTAATGAAATTTGCACTAATTATAAAAAATTAATTTTTAAACCCCAAACATAATAATAACTTCTGCATAAATAACTTAAATAGTTTCCTTATGAGTTTTTTAATTTGTTTTTAAACACAAAAATTTTTAAAGCAAAGAATATATAATGAGGAATATATTAATTTTAAAATGTGTTTCGGATATGTTACTGGGTGTATTATTATTTTAATCTCAAATCAAATTTACAATCGAACACAAATTATGATGTTGAATAAACTTCAAAAAGCATATAGTCATCTCAACCAAACTATTCAATTGGAGTGACAGCAGTTACTGTGAGTTAAATTTTACTACACATTTGTGTGCTATTCTATAAAATACAAACATATGTATAAATTTACATGATATGCATATACTAGAAAACTTCCTTCATTCTTTATAATATATATATACATATGCATATACCTATTTTACTGGCTCGCAAATGTATAAAATATCGCACACATAGAACCAATATGTATTGCATTATAAAATTTTATAGAAAAACAAAAAAATAGACTTTGTTACGTCAAACATAAATTTAGTAAACAATCCCATTACCCTACTGCATACAACATTTAATTTTTTTACATATAAATTAACGCTTTGTTAATTTTTTTTTCTCCGTAATATATTTTAATAAACAATTAAAATGTATAACTACATTTTATGAAAAATTAATTACTTCTTATATTGACATTTCACTGAAAATTATGACGAATGCATACATACATATACGTTTTACTCTTGTGACAAAAGAAAAAAGAATTATCGAGACGTAATCAAAACGTACAATACAAATTGGAGAAAATATATTATATCAAACACAATATAAATAATATATTTGATTTGATAATTACAAAATAAAAAGTTATCAAATGTTGATTTGTTTTTACCTGATATAAGACTGTAGAAATTTTTTGAGATAATTTTCACAAACTACTTCGCTGATATTAAACGTCACACTAAAGTTTTGACACTAAAAATATTTCTGGTGTTCAGAAAACAAATTCCAATGAAATGCCTTTTTGGTTACGTTATGAAAATGATATTGGTTTATTGGTGAATATAGCAAAAATCTTAGGGTACTGTTTACATAGACGAAAAAAAATCGAAAGCACTATTTAAACTAAAACAAGCCCGTTCAACCAAGAAAAATACCATTCCGCCTACAAAAATACCATTAGATCCATTTAAATCAAATTGGCAGACTATCAACCACCACATCCGAAAAAAAACCTGTTGACGGTCACTTCCCACAAAATTACTATGCTGCTCATAAAAACCAAACGGGGTGAATGCTATCTTACCGTCATCCTTTAAGTTAATAATTTTGTGAAAGCTCATTTTATGGTTAATCCACTTTGTTTTATTTCTATTTTTTTTACTTTCTACACCTTTCAGTATATGATTTCCAATTTGAAAAGTGAAGTGAGACATTTTGCTTCTGCTTTTTGCTTTGATTATATAGCTAAAATAAATTTTGGCGATCTTGGCAATTCTGCGGGAGCATATTATTAAACCAAATTTGGCTACATTTAAAGTACACAGAGGTAGTGTAATATTTTAAATTTAATATAGCTTCCTATATTTTAAAATGGAAAAAGGTGCAGTTAAAAATCTTAAAGAAAGAGATATTGTTAAAGATAGTAAATTAGAGGAACAGGTAAAAAAATCAAATGGAACTAAAAACAATTTTTTTAAACAAATCCATTTTTCTAGATTCTTAAAACATTAGGAAACGTTTCATCTGAAGAAAAAATTAATATTCTCCTAAAGAAATGTGTTGAAAATGAAAAAGAAATAAAACGCCTCAATTCAAAAGTAAAGCAAAATGAAAAAAATTTAGAAGTAGTCTTACGGGAAAAAGACAATTTGCAAAAAGAATATAATAAAGGAGTTCTTATAAAGTAAGTTGGTCAAAACGTGTTTATTTTTAGTAACAAAATTTGTTTTAAATAGGGATAAATTAGAGCAAGTGTGTAGAGAACAACAAAAGTTAATAAAATCTATACAAAATGAGAGCATGACAAAGGTAAAAATAGACAGATACGCGTGTATCTGCATATAAATAGGCATATGCTTGAAATTTTTCTAAACAATTTGAAATAACTATTTGCTTAAAGTGAAAATTTTATTTTTGTAGATTCGAGAGGAAGAAGAACGTCGAAAAGAAAATCAAGTGAAATTTCAACAATCTATCAATGAAATAAATGTTACTCTTTGTAAAAATAATGATGAAAATAATAAATTACGAGATGATAATATTGAAATGGCCAAAAAGTATGAGAAATGTTTAACTATTAACCGGATTTTAAATTTGTTGTTTTTTAAGACTTAAATACTTAGCTGAGCAATATCATACTCGAGAGCAACAACTAGAAAAAGTAAATGAACAGATTAATATTGAATCACAGCTTCATATGGCAAAAATGAAAAAGGTTCAAGTTGAAGCCACAATTGAAAAAGAAAATTTATTAAGGTTGAATTCATTCATTAAAATTTTTGAAAAAAATTAAAAATAATATTTTGTAGAGAAAAGCAAAAAATTTTGGACGAACTTCTAAGTTGTAAAAAAATTATACAAGAAATGCAGGCGCATGAAGTACAGCTAAAAGAACAAGTAAATTTATACACCTCAAAATATGAAGACTTTCATAACTCTCTCCAGAAATCAAACCAGATTTTCAGCAGTTATAAAGAAGAATTAGAAAAGGTGTGTAGGTACCTACTTTCTTAAATAGTACAATATTTAATTATATATATATGCAGCTATATCTTCATAGTCACAAAATTTATATTGACAATTTGACCTAATATATATGTATTTATGCACTTTTCATTCTTAGAAAGCCAAATGCAACAAAAAGTTAGAAAAAGAAAATTTAGACTTGAAACGAAAATTTGAAAGATCTAACGCTACTTTAATTGAATTGTCCACCGAAAAGCAAGCAAAAGATGAATATGTTTTAAAATGCACAAAACAAGTGCAACAACTACAGAAACTTCTACGAACTTTACAAGTAAATTATCCTTTTACAATTATTCTAATACAATTTGCAATATGTATTATATTTACAGGCGGAGAGAATTCAACTCCATCAACTGTTAAAAGAAAATAGTATTGATCGTCCTCCTATTCCGATTATACCAGATGAACCAGAGCTTACTAAATTACCACCTCTTCCAGCAGAGACAATTCAAAACAATAAAATGGAATTAATGCAAAAAAATTGCTCAGAACTGAAAGAAACACTAGCCAAGTTGCAAGGTCAAATGAATGCTATAACCGCAAAACAACATGATGAAAAAAAGCTTGATCCATCCAAAGATTCTGCAAATGAAATTAGTGTCAAAAGAAATAAGCAAAAGAATAAAAAAATAAAAAATAAAGGATGTCCCACAGCAGCTGATAAAACTCCTTTGGAAACAACAGCCGTTGTAAGTAAAAGTAATGTGTTACATGAAGCAGTTATAACACATGCGACACATCCGCACCAAATTGAAAGCAACAAACTAAACGACAAAGATTTTAACCCAGAAAGTGCTAACATTATTCAAACTGATACAAATGAAAATTTTAAGTTTTCAAATTGTACCAATATCGTTAATAGTAAAGCATTAGATGAAAATTTGACTTTGATTGAATCTTAATCTAAATTAATTTAAATAAAAATATAAATTGAATTTACGAAAATTTGTAACATTTATGAATAAAAATTTATAGTAAATTTACTTTCAAAATTTATTGTAAGATACTGATAATTTTTATTTGACATTATTATATGTTTATAGAATCATCATCATTGAATTCTAAATTCATTAAATATTGCAAAATTTTAACTTTTGCCACCATTCTTTTTTGCAATGGTAACCTTTGAAAACTCCCCACCAGCGACAAAGCGAAATATTTGTCTTCTTCATACTTTTCTTTCATATGCGAAATAGTACTTTGCTGGTCATTGACTGTATCTATTTTCTTACAATTTTTCAAAATTGGTAAATTATTTCCGTTTTTACAACTATCGTTACAATTGTTCTTATCTTTGATATGAATTTTGGATTTTGTTTTCCTTTTGATATTTCTTATAGAATTTAAGAAACCGTTCGCAGAAAGCGGCAATATTTTGATGACGGAAAGATGTTTTAGATTTTCATAAGCTGGAATTAATTTGATTTTTGTAACAGATGGTTCAATAGTTTTTATATTTAAAGGGAATGAATCACTTGAATAAATCTCTCTCTTCTTTTTTGTATATATAAAGTCTTTTGAAGAAATACCTTCACATATTTTGACACCATTTAAGTTTCTCTCAGTGAATACTGCAGAATACAAATCTCCATTAAGACTTGTTTCAGAATTTGTTCTTTCTAAGTTAATGAAAGACTCACTACTATTTTCGTTAAAATAATCTATATTATAATTTACAAAATCATCCGCAGTGTTTTTGAAATTTGAAGCTGAAGTCGAATTTAAAGTTTGAATCTCGAAAGCATTTGATTGAAATGGTTCCTGATCATTCAATTGAAATGATTCCTGATTGCTTGCTTGAAATGATTCATGATAATTTGATGTATTAAATTTATTGCATGCTTGTTTTTCGTGTCTTTTTAATTTATGTAAACCAGTTTTAAAATAATCAGATTTCGTATGTTCTTCATAAGTTGTTCTGTATCTAATTGGAACAGCGTTTTTACTTAAAGTGGTGCGTGAAAATTGGCGCATTAAAAATTTGTTTTCAAAATGTTCTTCGCAAATAAACTAAAATAATTATTTTCTTTAAATGAAATAATAGCAGTTAGTTACTTACTCGAACTGATTTGTTAGGAAGAAACTTTAGTGCAGCATTTCCAGAATTCTCAATCCACACACTTCTTCTTTCATCATTGGGTAAAGTGAAAAATGTAATACTACCATAAGTGTAGCGAACATTTCTACAGTCTTGATAATCACAATATTTTTTTGCCATCAACGATAAAATCTGTAAAATTCTTTCATAAAAATGTTTTCACACATTAGAAATTACAACATTTTGTACGTTCAACTTTAAATGCAGGGTTACTTTTGACATTAACACTTCATTTGCTTCATTTATGAAGATTCGACAACAAGCATGCGCCATTCTGCTTAACTTTTCCCTATATCGCTGTTGCAACAGTAATACCTCGTAACCCACAAAAACCAAATTTTACAGGGCGATGAAAAAACCGAATAGCTCTTTTGTTTCAAATGATAGGTCTGGGGTGTGAAAGACAATTTTTTTTTTAAAGTTTCAAGGAATAAAATATTAATACATAAAACTTCCAAAAATTATTACTAGGGGGAGAAAATGTTCTTACGAGGTATCACTATCTAATGTTCTGTTATATGAATTGTTGATACGTGGTTCCACAGTACAAAGTATAAACTGTTGATTTCCTACTAGAAAATGTGTGATTATTTGTAATATTTTAATACAAAATTTTAATAAAAAAAAAACAAAATTATCAAAAAATTACAAATATATTTCTTATTAATGCATAAAACAAAAACGCCTAATTCATTGTGTATTATTAAAGACAAACAACTAATTCATTATGTATTATTAAAAAAGATATTCTTTGTTTATTTATGAAAGATTTTATTGAATTATTTGTAAGGAAGGTTATCGTAAAAATAGTGATAGTCCTTTGGAACTACTGCTTTTAATTCTTGTAAGTGAAGCCATTTACGTTGTAATATTTTCAACGGCTAACTATGTATGTACGCTGGTGAAATTTTTTAAATTTGCTGACTTCACCATTTTAATGTTTAATTCTCATTTTCAAACATATCTGATGAAATATGTATTTCTATACTAGATTCCAACTTCTGTTTCTAATTCGTTTGGAACAGTTTCTGTGTTTGATACTGAGAGGGATTAAAAAAATAAAACTGGTTTTTCTCATTTCTAAGAATATTGCTTTATTAATTTCTGGCATTAGCTACTTACTATTTTCATTGTTGCTTTCAGAAATTTTCTCTTCTTTAACATTTTTCTCTAACAAATTTTGACTTTGCGAATTTAACGAACTTAAGTCTATTGTTTCTATAATATTTTCTACAGATATACATTCTTCATCACTTTCACCAAACAGTTCTTTTAAGATATACTCACAACTCATTTTTCAATTATTGTATATTTAATGCTTAAGTTATTGCACCTTAAATAGAATCTTTTTATATTGTATTTAAAATGACACAATTGTTTTTCAGATATTTTCGCATTTTGAATTTTATTATATAAAATCAAAAATGCAGTTATGGGAACCACAATATAATATTCGCAATATAGAATTTTAAATATAAAAATTCCGTTCCGCAGTTTTAATTTATTTGGGTTGCGAGGTTTCACTGCAGAACAAAGATTCAGAATATAAAATTTAAATTGTGTGGTAACAAAGTGATAACTCGTAAAGGCTGAAACGAGGTTGCACAAAAAATTTTAGTTCTTTTTTTTGATACGAGGTTTCACTTAACTTCGTTTCTAGTAGCAATTACTAAAAAATTTTAGAATTTTCATGATATATATATCTTCTAGTATTTTGAAAATTTTGTTGATACGAGGTCTCAATGTTACAACAGCGATATGTTCTTATACAGAAACATAAGATCTTTCTCGTATCAAAAGTTTTTAGAAACTTTATGAAGTTTTTGTATGCAAAGTGTCTGATGTAATACTTTTTGAATAAAAATTTGAGAAACTGCTGACGTTTCCATTTTCTCAATGTTTAAAATTTTTTCAAGTTTTTTTCAAAAATTTAGTGTTTTAGAAACTTTCAAAATCTTAAAATTGTCAAAACGTTTCTTTTTTAATGCAATTTGTCAAATTGTTTTTTTTTTTTAAAAGTATTTTTTAAACGGAATTTACTAACTGATTTTTTTTAAATTTAAATTTTAAATTAAAAAAAAAATATGTAAAATATTAATTAACTTCCTTCACACACATAGTAGTCGACTTTCAATTTGGAATTTGTTTTTGATTTACTCTCTGAGCTTGGTGGCCTGATAGATATATATGACATTAGTAACAAATAACGAACATTTATATCTATACTGTTCTACGGAGAGAAAAATAAGAGCTATTTGAAAGATTCAAAGAGATGTGCTGTGTGTTAGTGTAATTGGACGCTGTTGCCTTCCAATTCTGGGTTTCCTCCACTTTTCTGTCGTTTTACACGTGCCTTTTTATACACTTTTGGAGTTCGCTTCAGCTTTTACCTTGAACCTAAATATTATTAGGCCTTAAAATTTGCCACCTGCCAATTTGTTGTTGGGATTGTTGGAATCTGGTCATCTCTAGGATAATACTCATAATTAGACGGAGATCCAGGCACAAACTCTTAGTATGCTTGAGATTTGATCTTTGACAACGACCGCTATCGGCGGACCCCGATTTTCTCTTCGAGCTCGTTATTTCCTAAAATTCGGATAATCTTTTTCAGTTTGCTGTATGTAGTATTCACCGTTAGCTCTTTGCGAAGCCGTTACTGTTGGAATTAGTTTTCTGTTCGAGCTTGTACGTGTGATTGTGCCCAATATTTATGAGTGCTGGACTCATTGTTCTTTTTTTCTGCTTCATATTGATTTGACATAGTTCAGTAGGTAGACGGCTATAACTATTTAAAACTTAACTGAAAATTTTTTTCTTTAATTTTAAGTAACTTACGAAAAAATATTTCATCTCTTTTAATAAAATACATCCGTTAGACATTAATTTTTCCAAATAAATTGTAATGCCACATAAATCAGTTGCATATACATATATTATTTTATAATTATGGCATATATATTTCAAATGTTTTTATATATATATATATAGATTCAAAATTTCGGAAAATATTTTCAGCTTGGAGGCCTGATAGATATATATGGCATTATAAATTGCGTCCCCTTTCTACGTGTTTATTATGCTAATACTTTTTTCTGTTATATGCTGTTTACATATGCGACAAAATTTAAAACTAAATATACGACATAGCTTGATCTCTAAATTTTGTTGTACATGTAAACACCAATATCTCCTTCTTCAGTAACAAATATAAATTACATGTTACTACCGCCATTAAGTATTTAACATAATCATATGTCTATCTGTATATCATTTTTTGTATATTTTTGTTCATATCTCTGAATGACCAAAGGCCACATTTCTACCTTGAAGGATTTTCATTATAATGCTATGTGCGTTATGATGAATTATCTCGGACACCTATTAATTAAAATTTTTCTTTGAGTTTGCAGCCTAACCTAAAATTTTAAAATTTTTATACAAAAAATTACATTAAGTTTACATATTTTATTCACCCACAATTTTGCACTTCATTAATGACGCCAACAATATCAATTTAAATTTTAACAAATGGATTCAATATTTCAAATTGAAATTATGTGTGTCATATATAAATCTGAACCCTATATGACATGATGACAATCATCTGTACAACATGCGCGTCGTCTAATATTTTTACTCGGAACTAATTTTGAAAATCAAAATTTTTTTCCAATTTAACTTTCTATTATGGCATCTATCTATGGTTTCTTTGTGCAGAAAGATGTAAAACACTAAATTATTTGTTTGGCTATTTGCTCCAAATTAGTTGTATTAACTTTCAAGCAATAAATGTAAATATGTACATATTATCAAACTTAAATTTCATTTTAAGTATTGTAATTGATAAGGAATTAAATCTAAAAGGTTCAAAACGTTTGTGATACGCAAATTACTTCTAGTCTTGCATATAAAATGATTAGTAGACGTTCTTGCCACTACTTTTCGGAATTTCGTTATTTTCGACGGAATTTAGTAGCAGGTTGTTCAAGATTTTCAAGCAGTAAAAATATAAAACCAGAAGAAAATATTGAAGTTAAATCAAATGGACAACATCCAGTTACAAGGACTTTAAATCTACTGAAAAGGGATATTAATAAAATTAGAAACTTTGTTACAATTAAAAAAAATGAAAAGCATAGTTTATCTAAGGATAAGACACCAGAAGAAAGTGCAATAAGTAAAAAAAGGTATTACTCTGACGAATTTCAAACTCATTGTGATGTACTCATTATCGGTGGAGGTGGAGTGGGGACTTCTATTGCTTATTGGTTGAAAAAAAAAGCCAGAGATGGATTAAACGTAGTTGTTGTTGAAAAAGATCCGACGGTTCGAATAGTTCTTGCAATTTTAATTATGTAATACTTATTACTGTATTTATTGGTTTTAGTATAAACAATGTTCTACCGTTTTATCCGTTGGAGGTTTAAGGCAGCAATTCTCTCTACCAGAAAATATACAAATGTCACTTTTTGGGGCTGATTTCATAAGAAATTCAAAGGAATATTTGGGCGATAGTGTAGATTTGAACTTTAGTCCAAATGGTTATCTAGTATTAGCTTCTGATCGCGGTGCAGAGCAATTAAAGCGGAATTCTGAGCTGCAAAATATGTTAGGAGCAAAAAATGAACTGTTGTCTGCTAATCAACTTAAAACTAAATTTCCTTGGTTAAATACCGAAGGTATTGTGCTAGGATGTCATGGTTTAGAGAAGGAAGGATGGTTTGACCCTTGGGTTAGGTAATATAATTAAAATAAATAATTTTTCTCATTCAAATAAATTGTAGGGCTTATTAATGGGTTATAAAAAACGGGCTTTGGAGTTTGGTGCACACTTTGTTCATGGAACCTTTTCAGGATTTGAATTCAGAGAAGCAAGTGATATGGCAATAGTTCAAGACCCTTCTGGAGATTTTAATGATACACCCTATAATGCGTTAGATAAAGCTATAATCACACTACCAAATGGCGAGACAAAATCAATAAAATTCGCAATATGTGTTCTTGCGGCTGGGGCTCATTCTGGTGAAATAGCTCGATTAGCTCACATAGGTATTGGTCGCGGAATGTTAAGTGTCCCGCTTCCAGTAGAGCCTAGAAAACGATACGTTTTTGTTGTCAAAACTCAAGGGGATAATGCACCAGGATTAAATACCCCCCTAACAATAGATCCATCCTTTGCATATTTTCGACGCGATGGATTAGGTGGAAATTATATATGTGGTAAAAGTCCAGAACCAGAAAATGAGCCTAGTACGGATAATTTGGAAGTGGATTACGAGTATTTCGACACCGATGTATGGCCACACTTAGCAAACCGAGTACCAGCGTTTCATTCTCTAAAAGTTGTCGGAGCTTGGGGTGGTTATTACGAATATAACACTTTTGATGAGAACGGAATAATTGGACCGCATTCATTCTATCACAACCTGTATATTGCGACAGGTTTTAGTGGACACGGAATACAGCAAACCCCAGCTGTTGGAAGAGCAATATCAGAGCTAATAATAGACGGAATGTTTAGAGAAATTGATTTAACTCGACTAGGTTTTGATAGAATAGTAGTTAAAAAACCGATGTTAGAAATAAATTGTGTTTAAAAATTATTAAATAAAGTTTTTCATCTTAGTTAATATTATTCTCTAATTTTATTCATTTAAATTTTGAACAAATTTAGATAACCTTTTATTTTAGTGAACACATCAAGATGCAATTAAGACCCTTTTCCGCTTTTAATTATAAAATAATTTTAATAATGAAATGCTTTAAAGCAAACGAATATCTTTCAATAACAAATTAAAATTTTATTTGAATTGACCTGGTGCTGGTCCAAATAATCCGTTACCTTTGTTAGCTGCTCTTGAAGGGGCAAATCCCAACAGTTTTTGTATATTTTGACGTATAGACATTGTGCATAAAATATATAGAAATATAAAGGAGCATTCAGTAAAATCATCACCTGGAAGATTTCGATGACTAAGACCTTGTATCCATGAAATTGGAACGAATGGCAGACGGGCCACTACACGTCCATCAAATCTAAATACAAAAATATTAACCAAAAAATTACACGTATTTATAGAACTCACATGCTGTTAAACATACTAAGCAAAGCTGTAAAAGCAAACCCAGTGGCAAACATTGACTTCATTTTTACCAATGATAGGTCGCGATTATTGCTCTTTAATCTTTCTTCATCACGTTCAATTTTTTTTTTGTGCGACTTATCAAGTGAATCCCCGTGAATTTCTTTTCTTCTTTCAACTGTTTTTTTTTTTTTGAAGTTGAAATTAATGAAATATCGTTTTAAAATCTCTATCACTACTTACGCTTTTTGCTTTGTTTTTCTACTTCTCCTTTTAATATTTGATATTTTTTTGTGCGGTAAACCAAAACCCAAGTCAAACCTAAAAAAATAATTGTAAGTAAAAAATAGCGTTTCTTATCCAATTAACCTTCTCCTAAAAATGCCGTGCAAATTGAAATAAAAACTATTAATAAAGTATCAGACCACATAGTTCAAATTATTATTATATTTATAATGCTATTATATCAAGTATGTACTTTATTCCCCCGGCCTGATTCTCGTATACCTGATGAGCTACAATCAATCAATTGGCCTACTCTATTATATTCTTTGCAAAATATGTAATACATAAATATTAGATCCAATGAGAACTATATATGAGTGTTTGACAGCTGTGTCACTAGCCATAAATCTTGAGTTAATATAGAAACAATGTTGTCAGAAATTTTTATAATTTCGCTGCTAACAGAGGCAAATTATCTCATTATTCCGCTGCACTAAAAGGCTTTTTCCGCTATCTTTTTCGCTGCCCTAAACTACACCTGAAAATTATTATTAATTATATGTAACATAAAAAATGCATTAAATTTTGGTAGTTCAAATCTTTGATTTGAAAATCTATAGCAAAAAAAAACCAAAAGAAAAATATTTACTTATTCTAAAACAAATTTTTGAAAATTCAAAAAAAAAAGTGATTGACATTAGGTCCGTCTGAGATAAAACTTGAAATAACCTTAAAAGGAGAAACATTGTCGAAATTTCTCGCAAAAAGGAAAAAATTTTCATTTTGGATAATAAATATGCATAACCATTGCCTTGTTAAGTATAAGGCCACCGCGTAGAGAGAGCAAAAATATGAAGAAAATTTATCACCGTGCTCTTATGTTTTAAGCCATTTACATCTAAAAATACCTAAAAATATTTTTACGCTAATAAATTTTGAGTTTTAGGGCTAAGAATGTTATTTTGCTGTTTGCAAAAAAAAAAAAATTGCTAAAAAAAGGAAGTTTGCATTCAAAATAAATTTTATTAAAAGTATATTTCCTAAAATTCATAGATCAAATCGATACAGACCTTCCTCATTGCCATTTAAAAGGGTACTAAGTTCAATTATGAAAGAAAAATCGAAATAAATTTTGAAAAATTTTCATAGGGTAAATTCACCAACCTTTAAGCATATTTTCTTTAAAAATTTTACTGAAAACATGTTTATATCCAAGAAAATATTGCGTATTTTAAATAATCAGTGCTAACTTAGAATTAATGCAAAATATTTTCGACAAATCAAAACTTTGAAAGCTGTAAAAATAGGATGTTTGATAATAAAAAGTACGTTAGAAAATCGTTGTTTGTCTAAATTTCTAAAACATTCCACTAAGAGACTTACATGAAGATGAGTGAACAGCGATTACTAAGGATCGTTTTAAAACGTCAACCGCTTATTTTAACGCTAAAACCCAACATAGCACAACACCATATGTACCGCAAGCAAGACATGTTGCGGCAGCGACCGCAGCTGCTGTTTCACTGCTTCAACCTGAAGCAACCGTAACGACATTGCAGCCTTCATCAAAATTTTGTTTATATGTTGCAAAACTATTCCAAGTTCGAAGAAAATCATAATATAAAAATAAATATTAGTTGCTTTTAGTTATGTTGCTATTAGTCTTCAATGCGATGGTCTTATACCTACCAGAGCAGCGGTACAACTAATAATGTTTTACTTTATAAAACTTTAAAAAACATTAAGAAAATGAGAATGTGAAAATTTTTTCTCATTTTTGTTAAAAAGTATTATCCCAGGCCAGTCTTGTTATTTTCATCTTGCTTTTCAGTAGCATTTTTTCTCAAAAAAAGTAGTACCTAGAGCTTTAGCATAGTAATTTGAGGTTATCATTAATACCAAACAAAGAATAAGGCATTTGCATAGATTATTTTTTTAAAGTTGATCTCAAATAAAATTTCGGCTATAAAATTTATTTAATCGCTTAAATTATATTTTTTCTTTTTTATATTTTTTTTAGTTTTAAGAACAACAAATTTGGAACAGAATATTAATTAGATGATTTATATAATATATATTTAAAAACTTTCACATACCAGACAAACTTTACAAATCAGTAAACCTACTTTACAAATAGTCAAAATATTAAAGTTAAAGCCCTGTCTACAAGCTATTTTCACTAACGTAGCGAAATGAGAGATGAAAATATCGAATTATTATACCACTTTTAAACATTTTTTTGGACTAAAATTATTTAAAAAAATTTCGATTTCAAAATAATTTCTTATTATTTAATAAAATTTTAATTATTTAATAAAATAATAATAATTATTATTTAATAAAATAATTTCTTATTCTTTTAGAAAATATGAAATTCCGCTGAAATTGTAAATTTTTTTGAATAAAATCCGCTGCTAAGATTTAGGGTTTCAAATCCGCTACTTCAGCGGAACTCCGCTGAAAATGACAACTCTGTATATAAAAGTTATAGTATAAAATAATCGAATTTAAAAAAATAGTATGTCGGTTCATTACAAAGTATTATATATTTACTCTGTTACTTCCTTAAAAAATAATAAACTTTGTTTTGTGAGCGTTTTTTTCACATTATAATTAAAAATTATTTAAATGTTTACATTAATTTTAACATATTAACGATATTGTCAAAAAATAACAGAGTACTTGAATTATTTTGACGACAATACTAAAAAATAACTCAGTACTTGAAGTATTTTAAAGCAATCCTTGAGAGTTCTTTTTATAATTTAATTAAGTTATTCTTTATATAAAAAAAGAAGTGTATTTAAAATTTTGATGTTAACAAACTAATACAAAAACCGATCAGTAGAAAAAAGTCTTAGTGGAAACGTTGAGTTTTTAGGTTTTAAATTATGTGGCTGCGGCTTCTGTTTTTATGCGACGCTTTGTCAATGTCAAATTCATAAACGCCATTTTATATTTATATTTATATATATATTTTATGTATAAAGCTTTTCAAACTGTGATAAAAATCGAAGTTAAACAGGTCGGGAAGCTGCATTTTTACGTATTTTCTATTTTTTTTTAAATTTAATTTTATTGCTTAATAAATATTAATAATTAGATTGAAAAAGAGTATCAACAAGTCGAAAGTGCAATTTAAGGTAAAACAATGGTGATGATGTTTTTTAGTTTTGCTAGAAATTCAACTACCAACTTAATTTTTCCTTCAAAAAACAAAAAAACTATTGTGCATATTGTTATGTATGTATGTTCATTTTAGATAATTTAAATCTACATATAACACCCCAATATTTACTTTTGTTAATTCAATATTTAAATTAGTCGAAAAAATTGAAATATGTTCATAGAAAAAATTTTTCAATTAATAATCGATAAATTCAATTGACGCGGCCGAAACTTGGCTAATTTACTATAATGTCAATTATCTAAGTATACATATTTACATATTTATTTCTGAGGTAATATTATTATTCTTGAATTGTCTATATTGCTTTAAAATTGTAGGAGCGACTTCGTTAATTCCTGCAAAATTTATGAACCTACATAAATAGTTTTTTATAATTTTTAGTTAAGCTTTGAGAATTTTTGTATTTATAGGAATTGTGTATACACACATATACATGTTTAGAACAATCCCTGATATTGTAATTCATAATCCTATAAGCTGATTTTTTATCATAGCTGTTCTATAATATTTATTTAAAAATAATAAATTTGTTCTATGATATGACTTTAAAATTTATTTCATCAATATATTTTTCTAATTAGAATCGGCTTCAAATAATGTAAGTACCTACACACTTACCTGTTAAAAAATTTTTGTATTATACTATAAAATGTCTCCATCCATAATGTATATATATACTTATGAGATTGAATTGAGTAAATGATTAGATTCTAGACGTGATAGCTTTATACATTTACAGGTATGTTAAATCTATCTGAAAATTTTTGTTCCTAGAAAAGCAGTTTTTGAAGCCAATAGATATTATATTACTATCTTTAATGTGCATATTAAATTTATCAAGTCAGTTTCGTCGCGTGGTGGTTACGATGGCGATTCCAAATAAATGTTCCAGCTTTTATCGTTTTTATGTGGTGTGGCGGTTTATTGCTAAATTTAGAAATATATATTTTTAATTTTTTTAATAAATTACATAAATTGCTCAATTATAAAATATTCGTAACTTGATTTAGTAAAGTAACTCAATTTAATAAAACGAAAAAGAAAAAAACAAATCGTCGTCTTAACCACTACACCACGGAATACTTAAAATTTTGTAACTTTTTCTATAAATGTGTCTGAAAATTTCGGGAAAGTAAATTAACGTTGTATTTAAAAAGTGTTAAACACAAAATTGATATAAAATTCAAAATCAAATGTTTGTTGCTGCTGGAAAGTTTGGTTTCATTGATTTTCATTGATTCATCGTAAAGTCATATTGACCACTTCACAAAGATCTGACTTGAAATGCTTATATTGAGTAATAATATTTTAAAAAATCTAAATATATTTATCATAATATATTTTGTTAATTGGAAAAGTTACCCATTCAAAACATCTTTTATAGAATCCTTGAAGAAGATACAGATAAAGACACAAAATAGAGCCGAAAAAGAATAAACTGCTAAAATGTCTGAAATAACTTCATCTAAAGAACGAAATATATATGCGAAGCTTGAAGCAATAAAACAAATTCGAAATAAAACTATTCAGTTAGAAAAATTGAAATCACGAATTGTTCGTGAAGTGAAGCTGGGAGACGAGGAAGAAAAATGTCTAGTGGAATACAGAAAAGAAATGGAACAACTTTTGCAAGAAAAAATGAGTCATGTTGAAGAGTTACGTCTTATACATGCCGATATTAATGAAATGGAAGCAGTAATTAAAAAAGCTGAAGAAAATAAACTTCGATCTATGAATTTGGCCAATCGAATCCATGACGAATATTTACCCTTAAAAGGTGAAATTGATCAAATGCGTAGGGAATACTTAGGGTTAAGCCCACTAAGAGACTTACATGAAGAAGAGGGAACAGCGATTACTAAGGATCGTTTTAAAACGTCAACTGCTTATTTTAACGCTAAAACCCAACAAAGCACAACACCATATGTACCGCAAGCAAGACATGTTGCGGCAGCGTCCGCAGCTGCTGTTTCACTGCTTCAACCTGAAGCAACCGTAACAACATTGCAGCCTTCATCAACTTCGCATGCGTTTATGCCACCTCCCAGACCTGTTGGACCATTACGTATAAATAAAGATATGGGAGGAACAAATCGTGTTCCACAAAATCCAAGTATAAGTATGGGACATTCAACGTTCAGATCAGATTTTAATGTTGGTTTGAGACAACAGCCGCCTCCAATGAAATCTTGCCTGTCATGTCATCAACAAATTCATCGTAATGCACCTATTTGTCCATTATGCAAGGCAAAAAGTCGATCCAGAAATCCTAAAAAACCAAAAAAAAAAGATCATTGAACAGGTCAATTATCTAAAAGTTTATTAATAATATTTTAATATACATACATACATACATATATTTTTGATTCATTTTCTTTTATTGATTTTTTCAAAATTCGAATGAAAATTTGTATAAATTTAATACTATTTTATTGATTTTTATTTGTGAAAGGTATTGAAGTATGTAATTAACCCTTTTTAATAATTTTTTTTATTGAATAGAAAGCTACTACCGGATGGAAAATTCTGTTTTAAAAAATTAATTATTAGAAAAATCCTAATTTGTTTCCAGAAGTAAAAAAAATTGTAAAAGTAAAAAAATCAAATACGTGCTTCGCTGTATTTTGATGACCTATGCTATATTTGAAGGCAAATTAATATTAATGTATAATAAATGTGTTGTTATCTTACACATAAAATAAGCAGATTACAAGCTACATATGCATACATATGTGTAGGACAAAAACTCAAATCCTTCACCAAAAGGATTTGAGTCGCAAATATGTATATATGTGTTCGTGAAGCAATTATATTCGTATATAGTACATATATTCATTGATACATGCATGCATATACTGGACAACACATTCTAACGGCAATTCTCTGTAAATAAGAATCTTTTAAGTAAATAAGAATGCACGGTTCTTTTGGAAGTGAATTCAATTGGAATTCAGCTAATGTTAGTTTTTATTTTTAAAAAACGTTAATTTTAAGTTTACATCTTCAAAAACGTTAGCCATGTAACAAACAATGCAGTTTCCTGTAAACTAAGTTATAATTTGGTACATATTCACATGTACACATATCAAACATATTTCTACTTGTGGTTTGTGAACTCTGAATAAAAACATAGTATGTAATCCAAAATTCAGTTTTTATTTTTAAAAAACGTTAATTTTAAGTTTACATCTTCAAAAAACGTTAGTCATGTAACAAATAATACAGTTTCTTTTAATTTTAATATATCTAACATCACTGTAAACTAAGTTATAATTTGGTACATATTCCACATGCACACATAACAAACATATTTCTACTAGTAAGTTTGTAAATTTTGAATAAGAACATAGTATGTCATCCAAAATTTGTTTTGTTTTTCACTTAAAATAAAATAAAATACAATTAAATTACAGGGTTGAAAAACTTATCAAAAGTTTGTAGAAACAATGCCTACATTATGTGCTTGACTGCATTCGAAATTAGAAAGATTTTTTCCTTTCAAAGAGAAATTTACTTGGCAGACAAATAATTTGCGTTTCATAAAAAAAATTTTATGCACATTTGTTGTATGTAAATTTATTTAAATAGCACTCTAATAAAACCATCTATTTTATCTTACCAAAATAAATAAACATACTTTATTTGAAAGATGAGAAATGGTGTGATAAAACGAAGTAGAGTTTAGTTTACAGAGAGACTTGAAAAATTTATGATTTTTTTTATGAATGAAAGCTAAAAAAATTGAGTTGATTCCAGATCATATGACAAAACCATAAACGAAAACCATACAAAATAAAAAAAATAAAAACAAAAGTTGAAACTGGCAGTGAATGCGACTATTTATTGAATGGTGTAAATTGACTACACGCAACAGTTTTATTTGATGGTAAGGCTCTATGCAACAGTTTATAGCAGCGGACTTACAAAGCAAAAGCTTATATACATACATATATACACATACTATATCCGACGACAAAATAGATATAATTAGTAAGTCTTTACATAATTTTTTAGTCTTAGGTTAATAATCTTATGATTTTTAGAGTTAAGTAAAGCAATAGAATTTAAAATTTTAATTTAAGATAAAAATAACAAGCATTAATTGTAATTCACTAAGATAAACGTAAATAAAATTCTGAAATTACAATCTATTTTATTTGATGTAAGTGTCCCAAAAACATGATGCATAGTGTATGTACCAAGAAATTTGGAGAAAATTATATCTCTGAAATCTATTTTTTATAATACACAAATTATGTATTACTTGTTAAGTTAATATTCTATATTAATATAAAATGTGCTAAATAAGCTTCCAGAAAAACCCTTGCTTGGGTGTCGTTGTTGCTTAGAATCCAGCGAACTTACAAGTTTTGTCAGTATTGAAGGGTAAATTTGGGTTACTTTCATGATCTTGGACCAGTTCGGAATAATTTCAACTCTATATTCCGTTCAAATTTATGTTTTCCAGTAATGAGAATCATGAGGGGGAGAGTTGAATATTTACCTTAGGCTCTCCAGGAGCTTGGGGACTTTTCCAAACAGTTTTGCGGATGAACATAAAAAATCTAGATATTAAATTAAAACCGTTGACATTTTCTAAGATCAGACACCGAGTAAATTAACTGGGTTTAGGGGCTGGAGCCCTTAATCGGTATGGCTAGAATCGGTAGTGAAACTTGATGAGAACAACAAAGTGAAGTTACTTCTCGGGCCGGGTGCACGAGTCTATGAAAATCGAAAGGCAGATGCATTTTGAAAATTTGACAATTTTTTTAGTTTTAATACGAGAGAGATCAGTTTAGCTGCCGATTTCCTTACTGGGCATTGTTAGCTTGTCATTTGCATAAATTGATATTCATGATATGCAACGGTTCATGTAGATTTTGTCGCCCTAAAATATGTCTACTTAAATCTACCATTGTCTAAAGATCTAATTTATCTAAAATCTATATATAGTGGGCCATAAGTGCTGTGTATTCTATTTCATTAATAGTAGTCAACAAGACTTAATAAATAATATTGATCAATTTCCTTACTAATTTGAAGCTGTTGTTTAAATTAATTTTGAATATTGCTTAGGATTTGTAAATTATACACCCATATTGTGTTAGTCGCATCACTTGGAAAGAAAAGAATTTCGTTTTTCTGTATAGAATTTCGAATTTTAGAATTTATTTTAATCAGAAAATTAGAAATTTTGAAGAACAACCCATCATCATGATAGTCTCATATGCATTTGTGTTGTTTTGAAACATTAACACTAATTGTAATAATATACATACATACGTATGATGTGTGTTTATAAATACATATATTAACAAAGTACTATCAAACAACAAAAGAGTGTTGGGATATTTGGTCCAGCAAATTATGCTAGATTCAAAACCGCAAACAATCACGCGAACTTTTTTAGAAAACCACACACAATCGCGCGAATAGTTACATATAATGCGAAGGCGTGAGAGTTTTCGCATTATATGTAACATTATATGTATACAATTGGTCATATCATTTTAGTTTTTGGAAAATAAAAATTGAAATTTGTTACAAATTGCTAAATGGAAGTTAATGTTTTTATTACTTTTTCATAATTATTTTATATAAATACTCGTATGTACATAAGTATTTTATTATTATTTCCTGAAATTTCGAAAGTATTTTTAATGAAGTGTTTGCATTTTAAAATCGTTGCACGATTTTACTTTTTTAACTTTTCTACATTTTTTTATATTGCCTTTAAGATATCAAACAATTTGTTAGGAAAATGATGAAGTGGAAAAAATAATAATAAAGCAACATCATGTAACAACATTGTATGTACTTATACTTACTAATATGTACAAGGAAAGGACTATTTATTATTTTTTAATTTTTATTTACATATTTTAAATATGTAGCTATCAATGAATCTTTAATTTTTAGTTTCCATAATGTCATCTGGTCCGTATAATTATAATTACATATTTAAGTATATCATTATTGGAGATATGGGAGTTGGAAAATCTTGTTTACTACACCAGTTCACAGAAAAAAAATGTAAGAGCAGGTTGCTGTATACATTTATTTCAACTTAAATTTCTTAATTTGTTTTATTTATTAAATAGTTATGGCAAACTGTCCACATACAATCGGTGTTGAATTCGGTACCAGAATAATAGAAGTAGCAGACAAAAAGATCAAGTTACAAATTTGGGACACTGCAGGGCAAGAACGTTTTCGTGCAGTAACTCGTTCTTATTACAGAGGCGCAGCAGGAGCGTTGATGGTTTACGATATAACACGAAGGTTTTTACTTTAACATTTTTAAAGATTAAGATAATTTAATTTTGATTGTTTATTTTTCGATGAGTTTAGGTCAACTTACAACCATTTAAGCAGCTGGCTCACCGATACGCGAAATTTAACGAATCCAAGTACTGTGATATTTCTTATCGGTAACAAATCTGATCTTGAAAGCACAAGAGAAGTTACCTATGAAGAAGCTAAGCAGTTTGCAGATGAAAACGGTCTAATGTTCGTGGAGGCCAGTGCAATGACGTAAGTTTTTTAAAATGACTGTATACTTGTTGAACTTTAATTATAAAATGTAGTTACTAAAATTCCAGAAGTTCATCTTACGTTTATCATGATTAGCATTGAATAAAATAAAACAAAAAACAAACTTAGTGATGCATTGCTTTTTTGTTAACCATTTTTATAAAATATAATGGTTTCCTTTTAAAATTTTTTTTAGACTTAAGTCCGTTTTAGTTTTTTTCCGTCCGAAATTTAAAAATTCCATAAAATCTGGAATCCGGTATTATGTTCCTATATTTCTTACATCGCTTCTGAATTTTACACTTTGTGTGGTATTTCCCTTATCCCCATTTGCAAGAATACGGTTAGTACACCTTGTTTTAAGTTCGTTAATAAAATTTCCATAATTGAGTGTATAGTATACAGTTACCTGGCTCAATTATTATTAATTAGGCTTAAGTTTGAACGTAACAATCTGTTTCCTTAAAATGTTTTTTTTATTTTTCTTCTGTAAGAGGGAATGTCCAATTTTAAGATTTATGAAAAATTTATTATTGAAAAGAAATTTAAAAAAAATTGCGGCGCTGTAATTAGCCAAATTTTTGTAAATTTTGTGTCTTAAATTTTTAGTAAAATTGTAATTCCAGACGACACTTATAAGATTTAAATTATTTTGCACAAATAAATTTTTTTGTAATTTAAATTGTAATTTAAATAAAATAGTTGAAAAAAATAGTTAATAAATTGAAAATAATTTAAAATTTTTTAATATGAATTTTGAATTAATAAAATGTATCAATTTATTAGTTTTAATAAAAACATCAAAAATGATATTTGTACTCAATTACTTACGTTTACAACTGTAAAATTAGATAGATTTAGTAGATGTTAAGGTTAAAATTTTTAATGAAGTTTAAGTATGTATATACATTTATATAACCTATATTTTTTAACAGTGGGATAAATGTTGAAGAGGCATTTTTAGAAACTGCAAAACAAATCTATCAAAATATTCAAGAAGGGCGATTGGATTTGAATGCAGCCGAGTCAGGAGTTCAACATAGACCATCACAACCTGGCCGTAGTTCTTTATCAAACGATACACCAAATAATAAAGAGCAATGTGCTTGTTAAATTTTTTGAATTATGCAAAAATCAAGTATGGGCATCATACATTTATTCCAAAAACAGTTTTTTCCTCATTTGCTTTATCTTGCATTTCTTATAAAGTAAATTTATTGATTTTAGTTTATAACTCTCATGATATTAAAAGCCGTAGAATCATTTTTAAATATATATACTTTTTTGGTTTATTATGCATGCATGAGTATACAAATATAATTTATTAAATAAAGAGTGAAAATAAATTATATGTTACGGTTTTTCTTAGAAGACATGCGGTTATTTTATTATAAATCCAACAAATGTATTCACTTCCTTTAACAAAATTGTGTGCATTTGAGTAAGCAATGGAATAACTGGAAAATTATATTCTTTTACAATTATAATAAAAATTTAATTAAAAAATTAGTACGAATAGTAAGAAAATACAGATATGTAAATTTCTTTTTGGTAAACCGCTAAAATCCTATGAACCTATAAATTATTGTCTTCTACATTTATAATTAATAATGTCAAGCTGCTTGATAAAGAATGTTTGAATTTCAACTTTAAGTTAAGATAATTGTTTCTAATTTTTTGTTAAGACTTAACTACATAGTGTTCTGCATTAATTTTAGTTTTGATACAGGTTAAAAAATTGAAAATAATTTTAGCAAAAATATGTAAATTACATTTTCAAAATTTGTCTATCACAAAAAAGTAGAGAAAATAATATTGTAATAGAAATTCACTAATGAAATATGTTAACCAAATCAAATTGTACATTATAATCGAATTAAATATATCATGCAATTTTCTTTAAATGCATGATATGAAATACACAAAAAACTTTTAATTTAAAAAATATTTTTTGTACATAAGGAAAAGAAATGTCTTGTATCTTTATTAAATAATCTAGTACATAAAATTCGTAAAAAAATATAAAAATACAAATTGTGGTATTGTTAGATTAACGTTAAAAAAAATTATAATTTACCTATAAAAATAAATTACATATATTTCGAATAAATGTTGGTTTTTCATTTTTATTAGTTGAAAGAGTCCCATTGAATATTCATGTTTTTTATTTAATCTAAAGATGTTTATCAATATAAAAATAAATGAAAAATCTAGTGAGAGAGCCGTTCGTTTAACAATTTTATAAAAGACTCGCCCATATTTAGCCTTCGCGTGGCTAAATGTGGACGAGTCTTATGTGTACCTTTGAAATACATAATAGGAGATCATTCCCTGCAATTGTCATTAAAGTATTTATTTGGTATTTAAAAAAAAAAAAGTTTTTGCTAATTTTTTTAAACAAGCTTTTCATTTTATTTCAAATTTTAATTTATTTAAATAATTATTTTACTTTTTTAGACAAATTTTTATTTTGATGTTTGTATTTTAAGTGGAAGTTTATCTCCCCAACAGCTTGATCTACCACATTGATACGTTAATCTAAAAACAAAAAAAAAATTAGCAAATGTTTTGATTTAAAGTTTAGTAAAAGGTTTCTATCGGTTATAATTTATTAATATATTTCAAACTAACAATTACGTAATATAATCAATAATACGTAATAAGGTCACTTCATGATTTCGGTAATCTTTTAGCCACATTCTTCTTTAAGTGAGCCCACAAATTCTCAATTAGATTGAGGCTTAGACTTTGGGGGTGTGTTTAATAATCTAAATGTGGAATACAAAGTATTGAATGGCAGAACGAAAAATAAATATGGAAGAAATCAGAGGTTAAAATAAATTGAAAAAGAATCAAGAAAATCCACAATCCAATTGGGAATTTGTGGACCCACTAAAAGAAGAATTAATCAGACATCCATTGCTTAGATCAAGCATTAAGCATATCGCCAACATGCGCAAATAAAAACATCGTATAATCGCAACTATGCAACTATCATTTACCAAGCAACAGCATCATCATTTACAGGAAAGGGAGGGGAAAATCGGGAATATGTAAGAAAAAATAGGGAAGAGCAAAAGGGCAAATAAAATAAATGACGAGCACAACTTAAAAAAAAATAATAACAACAAAAAACCGTTATGGTTTTGTGATCAACGAAAAAAAGAAGGAAAACCAACCACCATGCAATAAGTAGATATTATAGATAATATAGATGAATAAAAGCGAGAGAGAAAAACAAGAATAAGAAGAAACGAAAAAATACTACAAAACTAAATTAGACGAAAGTTAAGATCTAAGAGTACCCTTACTAATAGCGAGAAGTCTACCGAAATTCAAAAGTGACCTTATAAAATATATAACATAACTAATAATATAGAAAACATTTTTTCATATATGAGAAAATATGTATAGTGATTTGACAGGTGAAAATGAAAACCGAAGAATCCGCGGTTGTATACTTTCTTAAACCATCGTTCTTTTGCGGATCAGATTTTCAAATTTTTCATTCGTTTAAAATGCAAGTTTTCTTATTCCATTAACAAAAAATTTTCAACTTACTTGCCATGCTTCGATGGTGTGAAAATCACTTCTTGTAAAGTACCATGTGATGTACACATTCTACAAATTGTATGCCTTGTTTTTACTAATGTGGGCCTTACAATTCTTTGCCAGTTAGAATAATCAGGTAATTTAGACATTGGACCCTTTTTTATTACTACATAACTATATAAATGAGTTAATTTTTTGCCAGATTTGCCTAGCAATGAAAAAGGTTCGTATTTAATTTCATAATTACATGGTGTTTTATCTTCATTATTCGTCAACCTTGGGCATTCGTGTTGATGAGGGCACTTGCATAATTAGATTATGTATAATTAAGTATATTTTTATTTAATATTATATAAAAAAATACCGGTGCGAACACATAGCCTTCTAGCAATGGATCCGAAAATCTCGCAGATAGTATAAGATCACGTGCCTCTGCTATTAATTCAAAACCTTTTCGAGTTCCTTCTTCTATAAATATTAAGTAATTTGCACACCTTTTCCATAAATTCAAGATTACTTCGGCACGGCTTTTTTTAGAATTTAATTCAAATAATGCAAACGACGATAGCACTAGATCATACTGTGTCTATATTTAAATACTTAAAATTTAAAATATTTTAAAATTTAACAAGACTCTCTTACAGTTTTTGCTGGTAAAAATTGACGAAAAAAAACTTTATTCAATTTAATTTGTTGACTGTTTCCTTCTCTCAGAATTGATTCAGCTAAATCGTTCATATTTCTAGACGAATCGACATTATAGTACTCGAGTAGAGTGTTATTCCATAAATTTGAAGCAACCCACATCCCAGTACCAACACCAGATCCAAAATCAAAAAAACTTCTTGGTTTGAAAGTGTGATCACCATTTTTTATTTCAGTAAATACTGCTGCAAGAATAGTAAATTCCAACGCACTTCTTCCCACAGCATAAACAAGAGATTCGTATTCCCCATAATTAATTGGTTTCCAAGCAAATATCTGTTTTTTTAATATTTGCTTAATTTTGTTTGTCCTTTCATTATTATACTGATTTCTTTCTTCATTATCCTTATTTTGGATAGTGTTGGTTGTTGAAAATTTTTCAAGATTTTGTTCTATTTTACTTAATTTGTTTCGTATAAAACTTTTCTCAGGTGGAGGATGTCTTGCAACAATATGACGATTAAGCTTTTTACCATCATCTATTAATTTCTTCAAAGACCTATCCCCTATACATTTCAATAAACTACTTTCAATCCATTTCGGAACAAGAGTTTCTCCACGTTTTTGAATTCCTGGATGTCTTTTAGGCTTGAATTCCCCTTTTTCTAGTTTTTGTAGAAATTCTCCATCTAAACTTATAGCAAGTTTTGAGGATTCTCTAATCTGAAACAAACACATTTCTCCAATAAATGTTTATCATAAATGCAAAATTTTACCAATTCACCGAAATTAATATATTTTTACGAAGCATGTTCATTGATCTTCAATTAATGAAAGTACATACGTAATTAGATTATGTATTGACTGTGAAGTGTGACTGTCGACTGAACTGAACTATACATAAGTATGTACATATGTATCGTAAATTGTTTTTTGTTAGTCTTGATTTGTATGCATTTGCATAATAGGTTTACTAGTCAATATACTGGCAGTTCAAAAAACATTTTCCGCCTAAAATTGAAGAACATCTAAGTTGTTATTTTTAGATTCTTCTAGTTAGATTCTCTGCCAAAAGAAACTTTTCCGACTAAAAAATTTAGTATATATTCTATTATGACATGTTTTTCTCATCATTAGCAATATTTTTTTTTTTATGAAACGTTAAATTCAAAGTACAATTCAAAATATATATTTTGACACAAATTTATTTTGAATACAAATTTATTTATATTTCAACTCTCACGAAAAATCAATATTTTTATTTCAGTTTCAAATTTCGTTTCTATACTAACATATTCTGCTGAGCAATCTACTCTAGTAGTCTCATTCCAAATTTTAATTCGTTTTACTGAAATAATGAGTTGTCAGAAACATCTGAATTCCCAAATTACAAACATGTTTTACGGGAACGGGTTAGATAGAAAATTCTATTATTTTGAAAAAGGGAAGAGCTGCTCTAAAACTTTGGAAAATGTTATTAAGACAATTGAGTATTGAAAATTTTTGGCATATTTTTTTTGTTATACAAAAATATAAAACATCAAATACAAGAAGAATAATTGTTAGGTCCGGCTAATTTGGAAGTTGATATTTGAATCCGTATCATGTTTTTTATAACTGCATTTACCATTTTGCGTTCATTGATGATAATTATTTATAAATAGAACGCAATTTCAATAGAAATTTTGGCTCTATCCAAAATGTATCCAACCTCGTAAAATAGCATTATTATAATAAGTCGTCTTATTTTGTACAAATTAACCCATAATTAATATTAATTTGCTTTATTCCACAATATGAGTTTTGTTATTTATAGTAAATTCTTTAAGAAATCACATACAACTTCTATTATATTTTAAATGTTAAGGTCAGAAAAAATATATGCATATATGCCTTCTGTAGTTGTTGAACTATGCGGTAAAGACGATTGACCATGAAAACGGACAAATTTGCTTAGAATAGTCAGCAAATAACATTTATTGAAGATAAAGCAACTTCGCGGTTTAATATTAGCAGCATTTCAACTGTTTTGTAATATTTATTTAGTGTTTGAAAAAAAATGTATCCATATTTCAGCAAAATTTTAAAATGTAGCCAATTTCGGCGTTTTAGCAGATTTGAGTATCTTTGTATCCAAGCTCAAATTTAAAGCAAAAATGTATCCAAATGGATACAATTGTATCCAAGTGGGAACGCTGATTGTGGCATCTCTGTTTTTAAAGTGTCAAATCTCTGTTTTCTCCAAAGTTTTTTTTAGTCTCCAAAATAAAAATGGTGTTTTTCGCGTGCTCTAAAGTCGTATTAAGATACTGTCTCTTAAAACATTAAATATTGAAAGCGTTCAATATAAATTAGTTGTTAAAATATAAAGCAGCAGTGTGCATTTTAAAAGTAATCAGTAATTTTAGAATTGGTATAACTGAATTTGCAAAGTTTGAAAGGTATGTAATATTCATAAAAATGCTTAGAAATTATTATGCCGGCATAATGAATATCTGTTAGAATTGATTTATTAATAAATCGGTAAACTTTTTTTTAGTTAAATTTAAAATGCGGCGCAAAAGTGAACGAAGGAAATCTACGGAAGTATCTCCTGTACAAGTTACGCATTCAACACGTCGTTCAACCCGACGACGTACATCTACTTCGTCATCGGTAGAACCTGCGCTAGGATCCAAGGAAATTCAAACGGAAGAACCACTAAAGGATAAGGTAAGCTCTAAAGAAATTGAACGTGAGGTCGAGGAGGATAACAAAAAAGATCCACGCGATTCTAGTTCAGAACCTAGTGAAAAGGATGACCAAAATACTGTTGGGATTATATCAAGCAAGAGGGATTTTTGTAGGGGTGGCAAACGTAAGTTGATACAAACGATAGCTGAAGAAAATGGTAGTCAAGATGAGGAAAGTCAGGGATCTGAGCCAGCTAAAAATAATGAGAATATAGAAAAGGAACTTCAAATCTATGAAATGCCGAGTGAGCAGCAAAAAGAACAAAATTTAAAAGAAGAATATTCGTCTGATACAAAAACAGCGGCAATTGCGGATGACAATAAAGTACTTGAAGTAACAACAGAACCTTTGTTGAATACAGAAACTCTAAAAAAGACTAAAGAAGTGAGTAAACCAGAAGAAAAAGAAGAAGGAGAAATGAATACAGATTCAGAAGATGAATCTATAAAACTTTTGAAACATAAAGAAGAATTCCAAAAAATGGAAGAACAAACATCTGTCCCTATTTCCAAGCCCCCGAGAAGGCGCAGATTTGATGAACGCCCGGAAGATGTAGAAAAAAATAAAAAAATGGAAGAAGAGAGATTTCAAGAAATTGAAAAGGCTGGGGAAGTTAGTAACGATCCAGAAAATAAAGAACTTGAAAACGATAGTCACTGTTCAGCCAATATAAATAGTACCAGAAAAAGAAGGTGGTTAACACAAAAATCGTCGGAATTAAAACCAAAAGTGCTCGCAATTACTACGGATTCATTAAAGGAAATAATTTCCGAAGTGCCGCTTCCAGTTCCTTTAAGCGACGTAAGGTTGGAATCTTCTCCAGAACCTGAAGAAATTCCAATTTTGGAAGAAAAAATTAATGTGGATTATGATGAAGAAATTACAGAAGACATTAGCAAAACGGACAGATATAAAGAAAAAGAAAAAGTGAAAAACCGAGACAAGGAAATAAATCTACGAGAAAAAAAGTCGAAAGAAAATGAATATCGCCCAGAAAAGGAAATACGCAGAGAAAAAATTTCTGAAGAAAAGCAAGTTTTATCGAACCGTAAAATTTCAATCATTAATGAAGAAGAAAAACTTGCAATGACCCTAGCTCGTCCTCCAAGTCCACCTAAAAATGCTTCTAGTACCATACTATACATTACGAATTTAGTAAGGCCGTTTACGGTACTACAACTCAAAGGCTTGCTAGCCCGAACTGGAAAAATAGTGGAAAATGGTTTCTGGATTGACAAAATTAAATCTAAGTGTTTTGTTCAATATGAAACAGAAGAGTAAGTAGTGTTGTTTTTTGTTATTATTAAAGCAAACATGAAAAGTACTTTTATGTGTTTATAGTGAAGCTGTTGAAACAAGGCATGCACTCCATGGAGTTCGTTGGCCACCCTCAAATCCAAAATGTTTAAATGTTGATTTCGGTAGCAGTGTCGCAATGCAGAAAGCAATAGCGTCGACGGCTGAAGAAATTACAAAAACTATAAGTGATCCATCAAAGGAAAATAGATTGATAATTGGGGCTGGATGGGAAAAAGAGCGTTTTGAAATTGAGGAAAGAAAGGTTTGAAGTTTAACATACTTCATAATCAATAGTAGTAAATATAAGTGCATTTTTAATAGAATATACAGGTGAGTAGGCCGATCAGGGAGTGGGATGTTGGTAAAAAGGACGACTTAGATCGAGATGGAAGACGGAATCGAGAAAGGGAAAGAAGTTTTGAACGTCAAAGAAACGAACGGGATCGTGATAGAGATCGTGAAAGAAATGAAAGAGATCGCGAAAGGGACAGAGATCGTATTGATAGAGAAATGGAGAAAAATAGAAGGAGATATTCTACAGAGCGAGATCTTCGGGAAAGAAGGCGTAGCGAAAGTTCTTCTCCAGGTATTGAAATTCGTGTTCATTTTTATAAATATTAAAATGGTTTATGATATTCTTACAGTGCGAAAATTTAAACGGAAAGAGAATGATCCACCTATTCGGTTACTTGATGATTTGTTTAGGAAAACAAAAACAACACCATGTATATATTGGTTGCCCCTAACACCAGAACAAGTATTTTCTTTCAAGAAACATTGAATACATCTTTAACTTTTTAATTCATTTATATAACAGATCGCTGAAAAAGAGGAAGTTCGTCGGAAACGTTTAGAAGAGAAAGAAATTTTAAGAAAGGAGCAAGAAAAAGAAAGGGAACGTCGCGAAAAAGAAAGAGAAAAGGAAAGGGAAAAAGAACGTGAGCGACGTCGCGAAAGAGATCGGTCAAGTGAACGTGATCGAAAGAGGTCTAGAAGTCGAGACAGACGCCGTTATTAAAATAAATTTCAAAGAAAAAGGTACCAAGCAGTGGATGATGGTTATCGTATCATGAAATTTTGATATATAAACAGTTTATTTAAACATTTTACAAATTCCAAAAATCAATCGCCACAGTTAAATTCGGTAATCATAAATTATTCTAAAACTCAAAAAAAAAGTAAAAATTTCAAAAAGGTTCAGTAACTGGCAAACTTTTATTGTTGAAACGTTTTTAAAAATGAAAAATCATCACATTTAGCGTTCATCTAAATTGAAAGGATAGAAAAATAAATGGTAAAATCTGAACTACTATTGGTCAAACTTTATCAAATTGATTACATTAAATTATATCCAAATTTTTTTAGTCATAATTTACACTTCGTTAACGAATGGCTATTTATTATATATTAATTCAATGATTAATTCCAACTTTAAATTTGTTTGGAACTTTTTAAATTTTTAGCTCCATTTTTTTTTAAATTGTTTCATTACAAATTTTTGCATAAGTTCTAGTTGAGAGCTTTTCTAAGGCTATTTTTTAATGATTTTTTCAAAATAAAATTTATAATATATGCGTATGCAATTGCAATTGCATTGCAAAAAAAAGTTAAACAAGAGTTTTACGTTCCCTTTTTTTTATTTCCCTAAAAAGATTTAATAACATACATGTATTCGAATTATTTAAATACACAAAGTATGTTTAAAAGCATATATATCATTCAGTTAATGACTTTAAGCCTTAGCGAACATGTAGCTCAATATTCAATGTTATCTCTAATAAGACACCCCAATTATTTCCTTATCATGAATATAATTATAAATTTATTGTGTCAGTTTTTTTTTGCAAAGTATCTAAATCATTTTAACCTTTCTTTGTGAGTACATAGTTAAAATACTGATTTAGCATAGAAAAATGTAAGCAATTCAAAACACATTTACATTATTTGAAGATAGTATAAGCATTGACATTATTTTAAAATTTCCACAAAAGTATCTTAAATATCAATTAAGTAAGGTCCTCAATCTCCTCGATAACTATACAACTTGAACAATTTTTGTATATTTATATACATGTATATATGTATGTATAAGTTATGTATTAATAACGATAATATGCAGATTCATAAGTATTATATTTAAATTTATTTATACATAATCATATTGTATTACACACAATTCAAAAAATTTTAAAATATTAAAAATATCTGGGCATTGAGTATAATTAATAATTGTAGGATATATATAACTCTTAAATTTCAAGTTAATTTAAAATATTTTGTCAGAAGCGGAATAAATTCACACTACGGAGTACGCTGTTAATATCAGCAGTTTACGTCTCATTTTTCTGTCACCTTTTTAATAGCTCCTGTGTATTGCTTAAATGCCTTTCAAAATTAAATATTTTATGTACCAACGCTTTCATTGGTTATCTTCAAATGTACTAATCGCAAAACAGAGAAAGTATGGAAATTTATAAAAAGAAAGATGCCACAAGATGTTATAGGATGAACTGAATAAAATAAATGTTCCAGAATTGGTTTTAAAAAAATAAAAAATGGAAGGAAGTTTGAAATTTGAAAATTCTAAAGATATGTTAAATCGCCTGAAAATTGAATTGCCTCAATAAAAACTTATTATAAACATATAATTTATATGCATTCAAGAAAATTTTACTTGTAGCAACAAATGCAATTGAATGCATTTCAAAGCAAACAAAAGTGTTTCATCCAGATGAACAACTCAAAAGAACAAAACTTTAAAATCAAAAGAAGTACATATACATGTGAAAAAAGTAATTAAAAACTTATTTAAGAAGGCAAAATATTTTTATGTATAAAGTAACTATCTGAGCAAAAGTGAAATGATAATTAGGCAAACATATTCAAAAAAATGAAGTTTTTAAAAATATTCAAATGTCGCAGCAAGTGGAATTTAAAAGCTTACGCAAACATATTTTTGTTTTATGGAAATTGACTGTTAAAGATGACATACATATAGTTTTCTTATTCATCATTTGTTGTAAACTTCAAAGATAAATACCAATAAAATTGAATAATTACATTCTTTATAAATAATGAAATTATCATATGTACATTTTTCAAGTACTATTTTAAGTTGTTTTTTTTTATGTGACTCAATATTTAAGACTGACTGCAAGCACTAAGTTGAATAGTAAAGCCTGTTATGTACGGTTGTCAAGCTTTAAATACAAAGCACAGTGAAGCGAAAGTTAAAAAAATAAAATTCACAAATAATTTAAATAATGTACGTTACATAGTTACTCTTAGGAAAATTATATGCATACATTGATTTTAATTTGTAAAACATACACCACATTAAGATAAGAATACTATCCTTTCTTATTTTTTGACGTTGAATTAATTGTTTGAGTTCGCAATATACAACGGGAAGTCAGGCAATAATTCTCTTAAACAAATACTTTTGTTGAGCATAAAAAATATTGGCAATAACCACATGTCGGGATTTCCCGTAATTATTCTCTTATAAAAGAATGTATGTTAGACCGAACAAATTGCGGTAATTAGCGCTTGAAAAAAACTGAAGGAAAATGGAATAGTTTAATTTAAATTATTTTATTTCAATTTTATAACATAAAATTTGTAATATTATAAGTTATGTACATTTAACATAATGAAGTTGAATTTCAACATAACTAAAAAATTCGGAAATTCATTTCAGTTTTAAACTAACGTTTATTTTAACTATTTTAATTTTATTAATTCATTTTCTCATAAGCGCTATTAGGTCATGCAGAGTATATAACAATTTTTCATAAATAGTATATCATGGATATTATAAAAATAAAACATTTTAAAAATTTAAAAAAGTAAAGCCACAATTTTAGCAAAGCGAATACTTAGGAAATAATTTTTTAATTGATGGCTTTTTATTCTGAACTTGTAATAAGCTTAAACCCAGAAATTGTTGCATTTCAATTTCAGAAACATTTTCAAAATTTTTAACTGGTCGTTTTCTTGCTGATGGCCTATCAGTTTTATATAGATTTTTTCCGTAATCATTAGTAGATGAATTAGTAAATTCATTACATCTTTATCAAAATAATTGAGAAAATTTGAAGTAAAGTTGATTTCTATACTGCTACGACTTTCTTCAAATACAAACGACGGTATATCTTTAAAATTTTCCACCCACTCATCATCACTTTGATCATCCGTTTCTGTTTGATAATTCTGCTCTTCAATATTAGAATTATAGTGTCCGTCAGAACCGCTACCAAATTCTTCGTCAGAATACAGTACTACTTTCCGTCACAAGCGTCACTTTCATCGTCCGATCCAAAAGTATTATTTACCATTTTTTATAACGTTATACCGGATGATATGGGATAGTAAATTAACTACAAAGTTGACAAAGCCGTAATTTTTAACTAGAGTAAGGGATAAACTTTCAAAAAGCCTATATTCTAACTTGCTAATAATTTTAGCGAGTATGAAATTTAAGTCTAAACTTCAGCGGGAATTCCCGTAATTAGCAAATTTAACATTTTTAAAAGGACGGGAAGAGAAGAAAATCAGCTTTGATAAAGTGCGTATGTAGCGCACGAAATATATTAGCGAAAAATAAAAAAAAAAAAGTATTTTATTCCGAATAAAAGGAAGTTTTCTTTTCACACCAATAAAAAAATTATATTTCGGAAAAATTATCAACCATTGAAAAAAAAATTTTTTGAGGACGGGAATTCTCGTAATAAACATCAATTAAGAAGTTATTTATGTTTATTAAATTTGCTTTTAAGAAATTCAAAAAATTTTCTAGGATCGACGAAAATTTCACTCAGAAAACCGATCATAGATATCAACTAGATCAAAAGGCCAAATAATCGACACGAGACCTCGAGACCGTGTAGATCTTTCACCAAGAATTCCTGGGATTTTTTAAGGGACACACCTCCGCATCGTATCAAGAAGGCGACGATGATAAACACTTAATCACTCTAAGAGGAGCTTTATGAAAAAGGCAATTGAGCTGAATTGAGAAAAAACAGCAAAGTCAATCAAATTAATCAAATAACTCAGCAACTCGAAATCTATCTTTTCTTGTTTATTTTTATATACATATACACACATTATGTACATATATACTTAAAATAAATTTTAAAATCAGTTAAGTGTTGTTTTACAAAAAAAAATGTGTAAAACTCAACAATAGAATCATGACATTTTTCAGTATGAAAGGGTTTTAAGAATAGATTTTTGGATGTATTATACAAACTTATAGGTATGCTATTCTTATCAACTTCTGCATTTCTTAACAAAACTTACATTTTATTATTTTATTTTTGAATGTTACAATTAAAATGAACATGAAAATTTAAATTAAATTTTCTTATTGGGCATTCACATCATGTTAGATAAATACAATCATGATAACAATCATGAAAATAAAACGTGTAATGGATAGGTATATTTAATAGGTAATACATATTATTTACCCATAAGTATACATAAGTTATGTATATTTATGAACATATTTGATTATATCATCCTATATTTAAATACATACATATGTATGTATACATATTTATAATTAAAATCATACTTATGCATTTCAATGAGATACTTAACTGATCACAAAATTAATTGAAAGTTTATCACTAAAATACATGTTAGAAGTAGAACGTATTACATTACACACATACATATTTATATGTGCAGTCTTTGATAAAAGAATGCTTGTTGTCAATAGTTTATAAAAGAAGGATATGTATGTATGTATGCAGGTATTTATGCCTACTTGGGAATTTAAATTTGAATCGATTCATTTTAATTATTCAAAGAAATTTTAATAAAATTTTTATAACAAATAAATAATATAACAATTATATAACAAATTAAACCAAAGTTTATTAAAATATCATATTTCTGAATAACAATTTAGGTTTGCAATAAACATTTTAACGAAATAAGTGGCCTAAAAATTAAAAAGATGTTCCACGAAAGTAGTTTTGGTGGTTGTACAAAATTTCGGTTGACATTCTTCAGACAGGGACTTTAAACAGTGAGAGATAAAAATGTATATGGTATGTTATTGTTCACCAAGGAAATTTTGGTCAATAGTGGTAAAACAAAAGCTTCTTGTCTCGTCATAGGCTGCTATGACGCCACAGTGTATGAAGTCATTACCTAAATCTATCTGTTTACTATTATCCCCAAAATATTTTCTTAAGAACTAGTACACAGTTATTTTTCGAATTGTGTTAAGGCAAATGTGGATTCGACTTGTATTTTGATCATGCTCTTTTATATATTGTTTTTTAAACCTTCTAAAAAACTTTTGAACTTTTGATTTATTTCTTCATGCAGTGCTTATTGTAAGTCGGTTATCTGATTTCATTTCTTTCTGACAAGATTATCTAGATAAATGAAGTGCATAGCTGGACTTGGATTTTATTGTTATGAGATATGCAATCACATTAGTTGTGTCATAAGATCTTTTTTTGTTCGAAACAATCGGAATTAAAAAAAAATTAAGGACATAAATAAAAAAATAGGTGTTATATGTTAAGTCAAAAAATTTTTGGGAAAACAAAAAACAGTCATAAAACGATGAGTCACAAAGCAGAACTAGTTCAAGTATAAGTTTATTGTCAATTCCTTACTTTGTCCTTTTATTACGATTTCAGTAGATAAGTTGTCAATTAAATATTAATGAATATCCTATTGCTAGCTGATCTTTGGAAATTTAATTTTATGTATACTATGCAACGTTCTATAGACGCTAGTTACTGGTTTCGTTAATCATATAATCTCAAGACAACACATTAAATTAAAAGTTTTTATTTCCGCTTGAATTTCTCACAGAACTTTTTTCTTTATTTTATTAAGGATAATTTTTTTTTGTTTACCAGCTTTTTACCTTAATTAATTTTAGATCTCTGTTGCTTTTCTTTTTTTTTTGACAATGTATGAGCATATACATTCGTGTCAATTTTAGTTGATAAATTGAAATAAGAAAATAATGAACGAAACGAAGAATCTTGTACCATGTAGTTAATGTTCATATAAAAAAATGCTCGAAAAAATGGAATGAATTTAGAAGAAAAGGTAGGACAATGAACTTTATTGACAAAGGTTTAAAATATTCATTAAATATATTTTTCACTTTCTGGTTGATTTACAAGGAATTATAAAATTTAAGGTTTTTCTTAATTTAAGTTGTTATTTCTACGTTGCCATCGCAAACTGTTGTGGGATATTCTTTTTATTTCCGCTCATGTAGTGCCTGATTTTTTTGGGAATCTACTCTTGTTTGTACCTCATAAAAGTTATTCTGCATTCTGGGCCAGTAGAGCTATGTACCGTTTACATATTCTAAGTCTTTTGAACGGCTTGCTAAGGTCCATTGTATATTATTAAAGAGAAAAACATCTTTGCTTCATACCATTTCTCTTTTGTATCGGCCTGATTTTAATGTAATATAGGATTTACCTTGATTTCTGAGTATAGAATTCGTATATATGATATCTATAATTTGTTGTTGCACTCCTCATTAAACCAGCATTCACCATGAGCTTTTATTTGAATTTTCATTTTTTTTATCTATATATTATCTTATTTATTTTTAAAGTAAGGAACGTTACTTTTATTGCTTTCTAATTAGATGTAGGGTACATAACATGTAGGTTATTTTTGACATTTTGTCTTGCGAATCTGGTATACTTGATTTGTGAAGCTATAATTTTATTGCCGAGTTAAAAGAATGTGTGGGTATAAACTTACTTCTACATCTCAGAAAAATTAATCTAATAATATTAAGCTAATAAATGTAATATTTAAAATTTAGTTATTATGTTTTCCCCGACCAGCTGAATGTTAGAATATTTAGGTGCAAAACATATAGGAAGACTACCGTAACTAAATTTTATTAGTGTTACAATTAAAATCATGTACACACGTAACCGTAGATATATATTTTATAATTAATGCTCAAAACTGGATTATCATGCCAAATGTCAATAGTTGTAGCACAAAATCCATTTCACAATGTTATTTATATGTACATAATTAAATTTAGAAAATAATAACTTTAAAATTCTTGCAATAAGATTAGTGTAAAATAAGAAAATTAATACAATATGAAATTTAAATGGACTTTGCGAAACTACTATTTCAACAACGAAGAAGTTCTTGTCTTAAAGTACTTTCAAATATATAATGCTTCTAAATGTTGCA